GGGTCATTATCGATATAACGACGACGACGAAGGACACTCAGGTGAGTGCCCCAACTGAGACTTAACTAACTAGAACCTTAGGTTACGATACGAAGAGAAGCTAGGTTGTGACACTCCTTCCCTTTAAGGATCACAACTGGAGGAATTGAACATCCATTTGACCCTATACATTCAATGATTGTGACCCATTCACGGTTCCCTTGAATGACTGTATGTGGTTGCTCACTGCGCTCGACTGCAGTAATAACTTTAGAGGTTGTACAGAGACCCATTGCAAAGCCAGTCTCATCAAAATTCCAGATATCATCTTCATGGATACCATGCTCTTGAATCGTCTCTAATATCATATTAAACCATTGTTTGATAATCTTTGGATCCTCCTGCTTTGCCCGCTGGTATGGTATTCGCTGATTAAACTGTGTTCGCAGTTGTGGATGGCGTCTAATAAAAGCAAATGCCCAGTTGACTCCTATGTTTGGAGTAGAGGTAGGGGTCTGTTTTTGAAGCAGTATCTGGGCCATTTGATGTAGGAACTCCGGATGAATTGCAAAACCACGTTTGTCTGCATTCAGTATTTGCTTAACAAGGACTTCTTCTTGAATAGATGATAATATGTGATTATTTGCACGTGTTTCTGTGCATGGTTTTCGTCCCTTGAGGCGCTCGCGAAGAGTAGTTTCAGATACCCCAAACACCTTGGCAGCTTCCTTTTTTGATTTGATTTTTTTCGAGTTATAGGCAGATATAGCCATTTGAATGTTAGATTCTTGAGATTTAGGCATTATGGATTGAAATGGTGAAGATATAATGTGTTGAAGGAGGTAGTTAATCGAATATTTGGTGGTCGTGGGGAAAACGCGCCGCTCGCCCGTGGAATACGTTAGTCATCATGACCAATCAGAGCCTGACTCGCCCGCCTATTTACAACGTACTTCTTACCCATGCCTAATCGTATCCACAGATGATAGTGTAAGGGGCTGAGGCCGGAAGCTATTATCTAGCTATATACAAAAAGGATTCGATAGAGAAAGAAAGAAGAACGCCTGTATGACCTACGGCAAGTCGAGCTGGGGGATGGTGTATTCGTCTCTATTGAGACTACTGAGGATTAATTGTCGATAGTTGGAGTGGAATTGGGAATCTTAAATTTGATCTATTTTGAATACATGAATGATATTTACATTGTTAGCGGTAAATGAAGAAGCAATGTACTACAATATAATAGCCGAATCTGTTGAATCTGTAAAACAATGAACCAGTTTATCACTCTGCTCTATACCCCAGTTGACACCTTAAATTTCCCAAAAAGGGATCTCTCGTACTAGCAGAGCTAATCAGTTAGCTACACACTACCTCGCATATATCGACAGAAGAGAACAACAAAATGTATGACATAGGCCAGCCCATCTCAGCTCGTACCACTGATACAGCACCGTAGATATTTTCAACCCAACCGAGTCTATATCACTTAACTATCCTACTCTCCTCCCTTTAAGCCGCGTCCCTTTGTGTAGGAATGCCGTAAGATCATGACATTTGATAACAAGAATTGACCGAATATATTCCGATACGACGATGTATGAGAATGCCGATATCGGTGAGCTGTCTTAGTGGGGGTGAAGCTAGAAATAAAAAGGGTCGGAGGTATGGAAATTGCTGATATCTGGATTTTGCCAGGCACTCGGCTCGCTTTCCGTCTATCCATCTCGATTAACATCATTCCTCCATCGATCGACGTGTTAAATCGCAGTTTCGTGCTCCACCTGACCTAACTCGATTAGATTGGCTACGGAAATAACTTCCAGTTGCACATCCAATCCAAACAATATAGACATGGGAGATAAATTTACATCAAATTTATCTGCTCATTTACGGTCAGGTCATATAAATCCGAGTCCTAGCGTGTCAGAAGCCTTTAGTATCAAACAACGCCGTATCTGGAAGGAGTTGATCGTTGCTACCAATGCAAGGCACAAGGTATCGAACAATTGTGAGCATCACGAGTTAGTTATATATCTTGCCTTAAGAACGCATATACCAATATGAAAAAAAAAAAAAAAAAAAAAGATACAAGAGAATAAGACTCGAGTCAGATGCTTACCGCAAGGTCAAAGTTTCGGGCCCAGGGGATCGGATGGAATATCAATGATTTAATCTCGCATAACACCAGCAAAGTGACCTAAATATATGACGTAGTCTGCATAGATACAAGCATGCACATCGTGGCTCTCCGCGAACGCCAGTTGTACTAAATCCGGGGATACATAAGGACAGAAGATCCTGCTAAAGCTCTAATAGAAATTCAATCTTTTATATATATTCTCCAGCCAGTTCTTTCAATCTCGACACAAAATGCCCAAATACGTGAGTTCCCTTGAAAAATCCAAACCTCGGAGATACTAAACCCTTACTACTTATAGTCGCTCGATATCCACTACAACAGTCCCAAGTACTATGAAGAATATGACCCTAATGTAGAGTCTCTGTATGTACCATCCTCCCTCCCTCTCCCCTTCTCACACAAGCGCAAACAAACAGCTAACGACTCCACAGCGTCAAATACAGGTTCGGTGAAAAGGGCGCTTCGGACTTTGAACCCTTCGATAAAAGCTCAGAAGGATTTCATTATGCCCACAGAACCTCGTATGGCCATTGCCCCTTCCCCCATCTACTATATCCAGTCATTTACTGATATAAATACCAGGTTTTCGGCGCCGGCCAATGTCTCGTTGGAGGAGCTGCGGAAAGTGGAATTGGGATATGGTATTCGTGCTACTATTTCCCAGAGGCCTGTTTAAATTGATTCTTTTTGGTTTTCGTTGTTTCTTTTCAATCGGATGTACAAGCAGCTCGAATACAGAGATGTATAATGTATTGAGTTTGAGAAAGGCAGCATGTCAATGCCGCGGAGAGCATGAATCGTAAGTCATTCTCTCCCGCTCCGTACGTTCTTTCGGTATGACTAGCGGTGTATCCGCATAGGGCTTAGGCCATAGGGCTCCACCACAGGGCAAAACGGCTAGATTACATCAATTCTCCACTTCCTCTGAATCCAGAACGACGGAATTGTTAACTTACCCCTAGCTTCAATTCAACACAACTCGATGCAATGGAAACCAATTCCTGGATCCTGGACGGCCAGAATGGCATCGAAAGTCTGAAGAGAACCGACAATCGCAAACTCTCCACATTGGGCGATCATGACGTCCTCGTGCAGATGCATGCTGCGGCGTTGAATCATCGCGATGTTGCTATTGCCAAGGTATGATCCCTGGCCAATATTAACTCAATTAGATCAATACTAACAAAAATGTTCCCGGCCATAGGCATTGCTTGGTCTCTCCCTCGAAAAGCCAGTAATCCCCACCTCCGACGGCTCCGGCACAATCCACGCAACCGGCGCAAAAGTAAACACCTTCCAACCCGGCGATAAAGTATGCACGCATCTCCTCCCGAGAAAACCGTATGCCGAGCCCGCCACCTTCCCCGAGATCTTGACCGGTCTGGGCCATGGTACTGACGGCGCATTGTGCACGTACGGAATCTTCCATGAAACGGCTCTCGTGCGCATGCCGGAGGGATTATCGTTCGTCGAGGCGAGTACGTTGCCGTGCGCGGGGTTGACGGCTTGGAATGCGTTATTTGGATTACGGGGTTTGACGGGGGTCAAGGAGGGGGATGTTGTGCTTGTGCAGGGGACCGGGGGTGTTTCTGTTCTTGCGATGCAGGTGTGCATCCTTCCTCCTTTTGAAATTGGGATATGACTGACAGGGAGTAGTTTGCGCTAGCGGCTGGAGCGACTGTTATCGCGACGACGAGCAGTGAAGGTAAAGCGCAGAAACTCACTTCTCTGGGTGCGCACCACGTTCTTAACTACAGGATGGACCCAAACTGGGGCGAGACTGCGAAACAACTCACGCCCGACGGGAAAGGCGTGCATGTCGTTGTTGATGTTGGCGGTTTGGAGACGATTGGTCAGTCACTCAAGGCCGTGCGGCCGGAAGGATTAATTTCTGTGACTGGGTTGCTGGGTGACTCACCCGATGCAGCGCAGACTGCTACGTTGCTGGGGTGCTTGGTGAATGCTTGCGTTGCGAGGGGTGTTGTGCTGGGAACTAGGGAGCAGTTCGAGGAGATGAATCGGTTTGTCGAAGAGAAGGGGGTGAGGCCGGTTGTTGATGAGAGGGTGTTTGGGTTTGGAGATGTGAAGGAGGCGTATGGGTATATGATGGGGCAGGGGCACCTTTCGAAGGTTTGTATTCAGATTTCGTGATAATTTGTACGTAAAGTGTATACTTTGTATATATGCCTACCTAGTCCATTACAGCTTCATCTGCCCCGGAGCACAGCATACCTTCTCCGGATGCAGTGTTGACTTGTTAAATAGCTGGTTCGACTGCGGAACATCCAGCGCCGGGTTCTTCGTAAAAAACCCATCCGGCTTGAGCATAACGCTGACCTTTTCCATAGGCATGACCGGGAAATCTTCAATACGAGGGTTATGCGTAAGTCCAAACGTATGCCACAACACAACATCCTCATTCTCAACTGGGTCCTTCCGCTCAACCATCTCCTCCACACCATGCGACTGCTTGCTTTGGTTGGTGAACTCACCAGCCGCGAAGAGTTCTCCGTCGCGGTATCGGGTGACCCAGATCGGCTTCGTGGCGAACACGGCCCGCTTGAGGCCGAAAGAGTTCTTGCTTGCTAGCATCATTTGTGCGGGTGATGTTTGCAATTTGTATGAGATGGGGTGGTAGGTGATGGGGTTGATGATGTTGTCGTTACGGATCTTGAATACTCGGTGGCGGTCGACGCTGGTTTGTGCTGTACCACTCGTCTTGAAGACACTTTGTTCAGTGTTGTAGCCAACATTGTACGGATTGCTCTCGTCTTCGGGCATCGGAACAGAGTCTTCGTAGCAGATGGTGTTTTGGTTGCCGTCAAGGGCGGGATCGATTCGGAAAGAGAACATGTGCTGGTGGAATGGAGCCATGACACCGGGGCCAACGTTTGTTCCCCAAGGAACAGTTGTGCCGGGCTTCTCGTTGTCGAAGGGAACGGTAGACAGAATTCCAGTTGCCCTTACTTCAAGCTCGACGTTGGCAGCTTGATCGAAGATGAAGGCAAAAATGTATTCATAGTTGCCAACTGTGCAGATCATTTGAGCCACCAGCTGGCGGTTCCGGACTACCGTCGCAGCGCCGGTACGGTAGTTTGTATGCTTATGTTGCAAGCCGTTGTCCTGCTCATGAAGACAGATGATATTCTTTAGCTCGATCGGTGTTCCCTTTGAGTCAGCGCGGTAGCCGTCAAAGTACTTGATATGACCAAGGCAGTCACAGCCAAGGGTAAGCTCGTTTGCTGTGATACCAAAGCCAACATCTCCGACATCAAATGCCTGCTTGCGATGGAAGGGGGCACGGGGGTCTATTGGTCAGCATGAGAATTCTAGTACAAAGGGGAGAAAGGACATACCTCCATAAGGCACTGTCATCTCCGACACGGACAGCCGGTAAAATGTGCTCCGTCCGTCATAGTTCAAGTTGTGAATAACCAATCCCTCACGAGTGTTAAACCCGACCCGGAACCTCCACTTCTGCCATGAGACCTCATTCCCATTCACAGAGAACGAAGCACCCTCCGGCTGCTGCACAATATACGGCTTCAGGTCATTCCGCAATGGCTCCTCGAGCAATTCATGGGCATACTGGATTCCTGGAACGGGTCTCCATGGTTGCGTCTCAACTCTGCTATGGTCAGAAGTGGAAGGCAAGTAATCAATCCGCACCAGCTGTCTGGTGAGACCGTCAAAGACAGGCGAGAACTTGCACGGGTGTGCATAGTGATTGTTTTGCGGGTGGTCTGTGGCAACAATGTACATGTAGCACTGGAACAGACGACGGGTTTCATTCTGGTCATCTGTACCATAAATCCAAGGATCATTGCAGACTCTCATACCAGATGGGAGTTGCATCTTGGCGATCTCAGCTTGAACGGCAGCGTGGTTGAGACAGAGTTGTTCGATCTCGATCATTTCGTCCACATCGACGGGGGGCTGTCACGTTAGCATCCGTGCACCTCCTAAGTTGGAAGTAACATACCTGAATATCCTTTGACATCTCATTCAAAGACACAACAGCCCTCGTCGAAGCATTCAGCAACGCCTTACAGAAGGCCCCAGTGTCCAACCGGTGGAACAAAGCAACCAGCAACCGAGCCGGCTTCGGCGGAAGAGGCTTCCCCAGGCGCTCGGCCTCGATATATGGAACGACATCCTTCTTGATGGGCTCTTGGAGATCAATCCGCTTGTACCGCAGGTCAACGCCAGGGAGGGCGGCTTGCAGGAGCTTGGTGGCAAGCTGGATTTCCCCGGGTGTGATGGGGTCGAAGGGGTGTAATCCGGACATGGTGATACAGGAGTTAACACTAATGAATAGTGAAAGGTAGAATATGTAAGTATAAGAAAAGGAGAGTCATGAGGCGAGGGACGACGGCTTATATAGACGAGGTATTGCCCATGCATTATGCATTGCTGCAACACCGCGTACTGATTGGCTGCTAATCGCCTGTCCCACTGCGGAACGGAAGTCGAGCTTATTCCTTTCTGTGATTGGCTAATATCTCTTTCGGCGTATCTCCTGCCGTGATGAGTTTAGCGTAACTCTGAAAGGGGGCCTATTATTGGCTGATATTCTGGTTATCTAGACTGCCAAATCGGGTAATGCGGAGGAGAGCCGGGGTAAAAGTACAATAGAGCCAGTCAGATGGGAGAATGTCCATTGTATCATCATGTGTTATTTACAGTGGAAAAGGGCTAGAGCTGGCACTAGTACCAGTTCAGAAAAACATAAATATCGTATACCCAATTACCACAGCACCCAGCCCGCCCGTCGCAGCCCACGCACCCGCTCTATCCTTCAGGGTAAGAGGTCTCCACTGTCCCGGCAGCTCAGCGGAAGTCCTTCCTGTCCCGGCGAAACTATCGCCGTCACTCGATCCACCAGTTCTATCCGTTAACGGGCCCCCAACCGTGTCGAGTAGAGTGGCCTGGATCACCTCCAGAGCAGACATTTGTTGGCCAACACCCATTGTCCCATCGTAGGTTCCCTTAGTCCAGCTAGTTCCGCAATATGTACCCGTGTCGCCACCGAGACATTGTGCTGCAGCGGCTTTTGCGCTAGGTCGCAGACGGGAGACGACGGTATCGTGTGTGAAGGGTGCGATTTTGGCAATGTCGCCCATCCACCGGCCCAGGTATGCTTTGAAGGAGGTTGAGTCGGTGGTGCAGGCTTGTTGGGGCTCGCAGGAAGATTCGTACATGACGTTTTTCGAAGTCTGGTTCTTGGAGAAGAAGACATGCTGTGCGTCGAGAAGACCGGTGATTCGATTTTGCCATTTCTGGGCTCCGTTTGTCTGCTTCCGTTAGTATTGAAAGTTTTGAGTGGGAAATAGAACATACCAGATTCCACATATGGGCTGCTCCGTGCAAAAACACCCCATTATTATACGTCCACTGTATATGGTTGATATCCGAGCAATTGTTCGTCTCGCTCGTGCCGTCATACACTTCATATTTATCCCCAAAAAGCCCCACACCCTCAGCCCAGTCCCAGGTATTCTCCGCCCATTCCGCATATGTCATGTTTCCCGTATACCGTGCCAGTCGTGCGGCGAGATCGAAGAAGCAGCCATTCGAGATAGCGTTCTTGTACTGATATCCACTGTTGAACGAATAGATCTGCCATTTCAATCCCCCGTCGCACGTATCCATATCCCATCTTGCTGCCTGCTCGTTGAACACCGCTTGCGCCATCGCTAACCATGAGGGCTGATCCTCTTCCGGATTCGGGAAATTGGACTCCGCCGCCATCATTGCTGTAATCGCCCAGAAAGCCTGGTCATCGTTTCCTTCGGTTCGGGTCTGGTTCGTCGGCATGAGATCGTCGTTCTCGCCTGCTTGATGCAGGATGGCCTGCTTTGTAATGTCATTGTAGGTCGTGTCGCCGGTGTACGCCCAGTAATTGATCAACGTCCCGAAAAAGGCGCCTGCTTGCCACCAGTAGTACGGATCGGGGAGGTTCCCGGGTACATCTCCTGTGTTGTTGCCGGTGTAGAAACTGACGAGGTCCCAGGCGAGTTGGCTGGCGACGTATTTGATGTTGTCTGTTGGTGATTTGAATTAGGTCTACCTTGTCACTGGCTTGTGTTCAGGGGGTTAAGGGATAACTCACCTTGATCAGTGACATCAAGCCCAATCGCATTTACCCGGGCCCCGATGAACCACCATAATACAGCCAGGTATACCCAGACAAAGCTCATCGCCGTACTAGAAACCCTCATCGCTCCAAGCCACAATTGGCAGTGTACAATATGCCGCGCAAAGGATAGCCATTGGGAATAGCTATGTGAAAAGGGGAACTTGTTCTGAATATGAGAAGTTACCAAGGGAGGGATGAATTCCCATGGTGGGCTGCATATGCAAGGAATGTGAATGATATGTCCCCTGCAGGGGTGCACTCACTCGGATTCGACTGGTAATGATTTCCAACGGTTGCATATTCACTAGCTATTTCCCTGCATTCAGCGTTGTAGGCGAGATTTTTTAATTTGGTAATTCTCATACAACCGTTGCCGGAACATTGTTGACGGATCAGGATGTATACTTGAGTCTATGTCCTCCCTCGCGTATAGCGGGCTTCTGTATAATTATCTTGGAATAGATGCATTCCACTGCATTGTGCAGGTATTACAGGAAAGTAATTGCCAAGCACAAATATTATACCCAATAAGGTGTCGGACTATAAAGAGTACATGGCGACATATTGCAACATGTCATGAAGATACTGTACAGCTTCATGCACTCTTCAAGAAAAGAAGGCCTATCATAGAGTTAGACATATGAAATAGAAAGGAGGAAAGAAGAGGAGTATACTTACTATACTTATTCCGCGAACCCCACGCATCAACAACATCCAACCCAGCCTCTTTCAGCAGCATATGGGCATCATTCGCATCATACTTATGGCTCTGGATAGCCAATATCCTCCTCCCTGCTGGAACTATCTCTCCACCTAGCGACACATCTGTCTTGGGATAATAGTACTGGTCATGACTCCCATTCTCCCGGTTCCAAGATCCAACAACATCCCATTTCTCAAGGTCGAATGCTTCATGACCGAGAATTTCATTCGCCCTTTCCAGCCCATTCTTGATAAATCTGTGATTATTACCGTGCTCGTCGTTGTACGCTGCCAGTACTCGTTTTTGGTCTTTGCATCCGTCTAGGCCAAGCAGGAATGATCGATTCGATTCTTCGGGCCCCGTGAAACTTGACAAAAACCCCGCGGTCTCGGATCGCTGCATGCTTCCCACGGTCGATCCAAGCGATATAAGGACCTTCGGGCGCGATTCGAGCTCGGAGCGCTGCAGCCACCGTCGACCGTCATCGTAGGTTCCCAAAAGTCCAGAGCAGCGGATGTGTCGGAATGTACCTGGTGGGACTATGTTGAGAGTGCGCTGGAGTTCGGGGAGAGAGACATCGAGAGCGAAGTAGTCTACATCGCGGCCTAGGTCATCGAGGGCTTCGAGGAGGATTTTGATTTTGCGTAAATTCCTGTCTAGTTAGACTCTGTATGTTGTTCGCATTATCAGTGATACTCACCCACTCCCCAATTCAATAAGCATACTTCCTGGTCGAATACACTGCGCGATCTGATACTTCTGATCCTCCAGGATACCGATTTCCTCATTCGTCAAGTAGTACGACGGCGTATAAGTCACATCTTCAAAGTATTGCAATCCCTTCTTATCCCATAGGAGGAGGTCCGGCATAGCAGCGTCCCTGTGACATGCTGCTTGAATACTGTCTTGTAAAGAACTTCGTAGTTCGGTTTCGATTTTGTCGGAGCTGATGTCGATTATGTTGTTGGAAGCGGTCGATCTAGAGACGGTTTCATGGACCGCGCGCGGTTTGACGTCTAGTTGGGGGGTGAGTATGTTGTCGAACATACTCCGTAGTCAAAATCTAGTTAATCAAATTGTCCTAACACATCGAAATCTATAAACTCAAATGCGGATCGACTTTATATATGTTGACTTCCGTATATGCCAAAGGTCATATGTTGGCCGCTCCGACTGACCAATCCGAGCCCGAGCCTCCCACCTACCTGATACGTATGACTTATTGCGCCATCATCTAACTACGAAAAGAAACCATTGCGAAGAAGACAAAAGCAGTACGAGGTGCATAATGCAAGTATGCACTGGTCCATAGTCGAAGGATGCTGGCTGCATAGCCGTAGGCCCCGGTCCTATTATCGTCTAGTCATATCGGTTTACGCATATGCTTGGACACCAGATTGTTTATAAGTAGGCCTTGTGGTCGATAGTTTCCACAAGCAGAGTTCGTCCTCTATTCACTTCGAATAGTGCCTAAAATATCGCACCGAGCATCGTAGTTAGCAACATATGCCCATAATTCCTATGCTGTTCGTGTTACTCGTTCCGACAACAGTCCTAACAATAGCGGAATATATTTTCCTCGGGGTTACCCCGGGGTATAAATCCACCCCGCATACGATTATAAATTAATCAAAAACCACCATATCGTAGCACATATTCTAAGAATGAAGACTGCATTCATGTGTGTAACACTATACTCATATGCTATATGCACTGCTAACTTCAACAGCACAGGTGTCAGCGGCTACATCGGCGGCGACCTGTTGTCGGTGCTGGCCATCCAGTATCCGAACTACCATTACCGCGCGCTCGTCCGGAGTGAGAAAAGCGGCGAATTGATAAAGGCCCAATTCCCGGCGGTTGAGATTGTACACGCAGATTTGGACGACCTGGAAACATTGCGAAAAGAAAGCGCCAGCGCCGATATTATCGTTCGTAAGTTTCCCGACACATGAGAGTGTCTCCGATCTTTTACGCCTAACCTCTATGCTAGACACGGCGGATGCGTCAGATCATCTTCATGCAGCGCAGGCAATTATCCGGGGTGCATTGGAGGGCCATGACGAAGAACACCCCGTATATTTGCTGCATACGAGCGGAACTGGCATTCTCTCGTTTCTGGATACGGAAAATGGAGTGTATGGGGAGAGACGGGACAAAATTTATGATGACCTAGAGGGTGTTCAAGATATCCTCAGCTTTCCCGATCACGCATTTCATCGGGACGTGGACAAGTTCGTGCTTGGGGCCGGTGCAGAGCATACGAAGGTCTTAAAGGCTGCTATCATCTCCCCGACGACTGTTTATGGTGAGTTTAACACACGAAAACAATTGCCGGGTCTATTTAACATTCAGCACAGGTTGCGGTCGTGGACCCTGCTCGCAGCGCAGCCGACAAGTATATGAGATGTCCAAATACACTCTACAAAACAGAAAGATCCCCATCATCGGTCGCGGTCTCTCAATCGGCGGTAACATCCACGTTGCCGACGTGACCGGTCTTTTTGTCCTCCTCTTTGAGCGCGCCCACCATGGCGACAAAGATGCTAGACTCTGGGGAGGCGAATCATACTACATAGCTGCGAACGACCAGCACTGCTGGGGAGATGTAGCCAAGCTGGTTGGAAAGACCGCTGTAGATGAAGGATTCATTCCGTCCGCTGAGGTACAGTCTTTGGACGTTACAACTGCGCGTCGGTTGGCGGGTTTTGAGGCTGTGAGTTGGGGGTTGAATATGCGGTCTCGTGCAAAGAGGGCGAGGGAGTTCTTGGGTTGGGATGCTAGTGGGCCTTCGCTGGAAGATGAGATTCCGGGGATTGTCCGAGAAGAATGGCAGCGTTTGCAATAGTAGGATCTGGGTAGCTCCGGTAATCGAAGCAGTCTTTCTATTGCGGCATAGATGTCGAGCGATGCAGGAACACGAACAACTAACACGAACACGCTTACTTTATAGAATGATAACTTGCATTAATTAGTTATCTCTCTTTATCCTGCTAGTTAGATGACGCCCATCTTATCAAATTAACCTTATCATCCTCATGCGGGGTATGACACCGGCCCGAACATCCCCACACTAGCTGACACATGATAAGATCCCCTCATATGCCCATCAGGGCCATCACAAAGACCAAATGCAATTGTTAACCATGGATCGCTCCCGGCGCTCACGACGGACCCAGAATGCGTATGTATATGGGTTGCGATTGAGAGGACGTGACTGACAGACCATCAGATGCCAACGATGCCGCTCGCGCAAGGTTAAATGCTCCGGTATACAGCCGTGTGAGCATTGTCGCAGGCGGGGTCAGGATTGTGTGTTTGATGAAGATCGGAAGATTGTGATTTCGGAGGGGTGCGGCATTTCCGAGACCTTGATAAAGAAGTTGCTAACGAAACAGGTTGTTTTTGTCGATGAAGCGAAAGTTGGAAGAACGTAACGGCAATGCGACAATTGAGCATAAGCGGACTCGGTTATTGGATAGTTCCGGTAAGGTGTCATACACGCATTATGTGTCCATTCTGGCGCTGATAATATCAGAGCCGGCGGAATCAAGAACAGAAACCACCGAAGAACGACAATCCGAAGAACGATTCGTATCGAATCCACTCGTGTCAGCTTCATACCTGAAGCATAATGGACAAACACAACGCGCATGGTGTACGTTGACTGAATAGAATGTCCTGGCTCAGACTGACAGTTGTAGTGTGTCTCGGCCCAACATCAACATGGTCCTTCAGCCGTCGCGTCCTAAGCATTATCCAAACCCGCGTACACCCAGATAGCACCAGATCAATTCCCCTTGCCGTAGACGGCGACGCATACCAAATACACTGGAGCCAGGCGAGCTCCGACGAACCACCCGATATCAGTGGCTTACCATCCATCGACTATGCGCTATACATGCTAAGCACCGTCAAGTTCCATCTGAGCCCGATGTACCGATTCTTTGACGAGAAGGAGTTTCTGTGCAATCTATACGAGTTTTACGACAATGCTCCCGTAAAGGCGCAAGAGTCACGACTGTGGTATATACAGTTTCTGATGGTTCTGGCGTTTGGGGAGGCGTTTCTGACGCCTATGAGGACGGCGGAGAATACGGAGAACTGGACGCGCTTTTTCACCAGGGCATTGTCGTTGTTACCGGATATCACGGGGTTGTGGCAGGATCCGATTCTGGCGATTGAGGTGCTTGCGTTGATTGCGCTGTATTTTCATTCGGTGGATATAAGGGATACTGCTTATTGCTATGTGAGTGTACCGGAGCCTATTCTGTGAGTACCAGGCTAATTGTCTAGATTGGCCATGCAATGCGGATGGCTCTGGTTGAAGGTTGGCATCGTGCTCTTCCTGTCGAACAGCTGGGAGAAAAGATGGTCGAGCGATGCAAGAATATCTGGTGGACGATTTACATCCTCGATAGTCGGTTTTCGTCGTTAATTGGGACGCCTAACTCGGTTAGCGATGAGGATATCACTGCTATGCTCTGGGATCTGAGAAACTGCTCTCAGGAGGCAGCTGCGTTGACGTTGCATGTCAAGATATCCCAAGTTGTCACGCGCGTTTTGAACAGTAAGTACTCCAATGCGGTCGATATTTCGTCGCTGACTTCAGTAGCTGTGTATAGTGTAGATGGAAAACTAGGAGGCGTCTTCCTGCGCAAGATGCGATCCGTCCTGCATGAAATGACGGATCTCTCCCGGGAGCTTGAGAATGTTTTTGCGCACCGGTTCCAGAATTCAGTCGATGCGATCTCAGGAGTCACGACTCGGCTGACACTATCCTGTCATTTGGTATGTCTTTTGACTCGCCTGTCCTTTTCTCGCTGACCAAATAGTGTATCATCGTAACCGTCCGCCCCCTCATCCTCAGCCTGTTATGGGAACGCCTCAGTTGCCACGAAAACGGTGACTCTCTGCGCCCATTATCAGCACCTGTTCGAACAATCGTGCAGTCCTGCATCGACTCCGCCATCAAGTCCCTGCGACTGCTGACAGCCTTGCGGAACCAGAACCTACTTGGTACGGACCGCCCCTATCGGTGCCAACGCATCGCTGACCATGTAGAATCCTTCCTCCCATTCGACCTCGAAAGCCTTTTTTCCGCAGCCTGGGTTTTATCCATGATCTCTGCTATTTTCCCAGATACCCTCCCTGACCACAGCTACCGCGACACATCCTTCAGCCTCCTGGACGACATGATCGAGCGCGGCAACCGTGTAGCACAATTTCGCAAGTCCGAAATCGAACTACTAGAAGACCTAGTCCAGCCACTGCTCATTCCTTCAACACCTTTATCGCATTCGGTTATCGAAGAGCCCGAGCCACTGATAACGCCTCGAAGTGAGACAGTCCCAGGATTCAACGAACTAGACGTGCAGCCTGTTATAGCGACCCCATCTTTGACTGCTACTGGAATACCAGATGCGAATGAGGAGGATCTAACTCTCGATTGGAGGGATTTTGGGACGTCGTTGAATGAAATGTTATCGGCGACGGAAGAGTTGGATGCGAATTGGGTGGATATGGATGGGGGGTTGGGGATGGATTTGTGGTTGTGGGATAATTGAAAAAAAGGCAACTGTTTCTATTCATTTCAAGAAGTAGAAGCAATGAGTATGGTGGCTAAAGTTCTGTTGATGCGGGGTTGTTTACTGGAATGCGAGGAATGCGGAGATGAGGGCGTGTCCAGATCCTATACATACGCAGTATTTCGATCATGGCCATTTGCTTTACCAGTCGAGTGTCTCGTACCCAACTCTAAGACAATTTACTTGAACACCCAGTTTCTTATTTTGATGGACTGCGCTCGCGTTGTCTATACTATTGCACTCAATACTCTCTACTTGGACTTAGGGCTAGCGCCTGGAATGTAAGATATGGAATGTGAATCAACAAATATGAGATCTGGGGAATTTTTGTGGGTCATTCACTTCTATTAAATGTATTTCTTTCTCTCATGCCTTGGCCCATTGCTGCTTCTTATTTCTCTTTGTTCTTCCTGTGGGCTGGTTTACACAGTGAATATATCATAGCCTCACACTTTCCTATTCAGGAAAAATGACTTTCCTTTAGAGGCATTCACTTCTTCCTTTTCATTTTTGACTGACTTATATTCACTCCTTTTTACTCTCTCACTTGTTTGATGCTATTCACTGTCAAAAGTCACTCATTTTCACAGAAAGCCAGGGTATTGAAAGCCCTCATCACCCAGCAATCTCCTTTTTTCCACAACATCTTCTGCTCTCTACCCCCTTTCCCCAGCTTCATCGGCAGCCTACTATATGCTCAAGTCAAGCTCAAGAAACATGCACTTGAAGCTCGCCTTCATCCTGCTGCTCGCCCTCGTGGCCGAGTCAGCCTTTGCCCGTCTCCAGGGCCATCATCGTCGCCTCGTCCATGGCAAGCACCCCGCTATCAAGAACGACAACGACAACGACAGCATCGGCTTTGGCTTTTCTCTTGAGCCTCGTGCTCTTATCGACGTCAACGAAAATACTATCGGTATCGGTCCTCTCACTGCTACGCTCGACATCCTCCCTGGTGCAACTCTCGCTCCGACCAACGATGACCCTCCCGATGGCCCTCACGGAGATCCTCACGATGGTCCTTCCCCTCACGGCGGTCACCACGGAGGTCATTCCCATGGTCACCGCCCTCACGGTCACCATCCCCATGGCGGTCATCCCCACGGCGGCTATCCCCACGGCCACGATAACGAGCCCAGCCCGCACCCCATCAAAGCAACCGCAGCCTGGGACCAAACCCCTTCCGACGGCCAATTTACCTGGGACGGTTTTGGCGGACGCACGCAGTCCCAAGGCGATGACGTCGGCTACAAAGGCAACGTTGGCGACCCGTGGGGTAGCAACATCATCCTCCTCGACTCCGAAACCGACGCCCCGAACTACAAATACGTCGCGCAACTGCACGGTCCCAAAGACGCCAACGCAGAGTCCTGGAAAGTAGTCTTCTGGAATAAGATCGGCCCAGATGGGAAGATGTCTGGCTGGTATCAGCACTCTGCACTTGAATTTGATATGCTCCCCAATGAGATCAAATACGTTGCGTTCGACGAGGACTCGCAGGGTGGGTTTGGCGCTGCACCCGGGGATCATCTTCCTACCGATCAATGGGGCGGGTGGTCTAGTACCTGGGGCGAGTTTGACTTTGGTGACGTGAAAAATCATGCTATGTCTGGGTGGGATGTATCGTGTATTCAGGCGCAGAATGCAGGGCAGGAGGTGCAGGGAATGAGGATGTGTTTGTCGAATGGGGACAAGTGTTCTACTATCACAACGGGTGCGAAGAAGGTTGAGAATGCGTATCCGAGTGATAAGGCTGGAGTTGATGGTTTTGGTGGTGTTGTTGGGGCTGGGGCTGTTCGGATCGTGGTTGAGCTGGACTATGATCAGTAGGGGGGTTTGGTTGTACTTATAAGCCTTTCTGGATCTGGATCTGGCCACATTGAAGGGGAAGTAAATAGTCACGATAAATGAAAGCCTTATTATTTTCACCACCAAAACATACATCCAGTAATAATCACATAATTAGCTTCACTGTTGTCCAAACTACCCGTCACCAAACCAATACTAAACATGCTTCCTCACTAAAAGGCCTGTCGCGTATAGGCAATCCGCGAACGACCCCAAGGGTCTACATACACCGTCCCTTCCATCACCTGATGAACACCTCGATCATCAACAGGATTTTGCGGCGGCGGCACCATGTATCTGCGATACTCATGCCAAAACCGGCCATACTGTTCATGAACGTGAAAGTGCCGCGCCACGGGGAGTCCGCGCATACAAGGCGCATCAAAAGGCCATAAACACCCTATGTCACCTTCAATACTCGCAATGTTTGCGTAGATGGCCTTGCACATGTGGGAGCCAGCGTCGTCTGCTATGAGGCTCCAGTACTCCATTATTCTGGACTGGCTGGGGAAGGTGGACTTGTCGGTGACGAGGCCCGAAGAATCGACCGGTGAGTGGAAGAGCTCTGCAAAAAGTTGGATGCGGAGTAGAGCCAGCAGGATGTAGTAGTTATTTGCTGGAGCATAATCCCGGCGTGAATCTCGCAAGGCCAACTGCCACCATTTCTTTGAACCGGAGCGGTAGAATCCCACACTGTCCAGAACTTCGAGCAAGTATTTCAGCATCTCCATTGTACGGGGAACGTGCTGGGGAAGGGATCCGTTGTTTTTGAGGAAGTGGTCTAGGAAGTATCGCATATTGAAGGGCCTTGGGTAGTAATGTGCAACCATGATGGCGATAACATATCCCCAATGATTCACTGACCAGAGATGGGTGGTCAGGATACTCTTGAGAATTGCTGTGAAGGAGTTGAAGAAAATATGCTGAAATGGAGGTATGGCGACCAGGAATTTGTATAGAGAGTTTGCTTCAAGCTGGGCCATGATGGCCACGAGGACATCGTGGTTGAGGGTGAGGAGACTGAGACTGGTTGTCGGCATATTGTCTGTCAGGGAAGAGTAAACAGAAGGCTGACAATTTATAGAAAGATTTTGAGAAAAATCAAAAGTTTGCTTGAGTCACCAGCATTATACGGTGAGATTAGTTTGTAATCATGTTAAAGAAAATGGCAATCACAATTTTTCTTTGACTGCACTGAAAGAAAGAATGACATGAACATATTTGCCTGCCATGAGGGGAGATCCCTCAACTGTTTGGCTCTCGTTTCAACCTCGAGCCGGAGCGAATAGGTCTCCAAATTCTAGGTATAATCATTGGCACTATTCCTGGTGAATGGTTCAATGCTGTGCTACTTAGCCTGATGAACAGACGAGCATTGAAAAAGCAAACACACGCTGCAAATCCCCAAAATTACCTGCTTGCAAGCTATCTAGGCTTTGTCTGCATGGATTTTGGGTTGATTATCTTTTGTGTTCTTTTAGACGAGACGTTGCCTATGCATTGCAAGGTGTCCCCAATCATTGGAATTAGCATTACGGGATTTAGAAACCAATTAGTTTCCAACTTTTTAATAAACTGTAAGATTGCTCCACAGCATTGATATAACTTCGGGAATTCTATTCGAGGGTGGTCAAATTAAGATCTTGGTTGCTGACATGAAAACTGACATTTTACTCATTCACAAATGTCATGCACCTCCATTCGGAAAATGCTGCCACTGCGTCGATATTTTTGGGGTTCATTCGATAGACGTGGTGCTTTATCGAGCCTTTTTGGTTCCCTCCCATGTTCGAAGTCCTGGGTATTTCGGCATCGTCGGGGCTTCTGTCCGGGCAAGTGGTCGTGAGTGTCCTCCTTGTTATATGGTTGCATTGGAGGTCACGAGGCTAGAGTGAAATTTTAATCTGTATTACAAGAAGCTGGAGAGGGAAAAGTATATTCTATTGTCGCAGACAGATAGACAGGCTTCTAGCATCTGGCGTCTGACGTCTGGCTTCCAATTTCAATCTCCAGCTACGTTGTCTTGAGATTTGAAAATGTTATGCACAGCAAATTAAAGGCTGCATGACAGATATAATTGTATTTTTGAAGCTTCATGAGGTGCGAGGAATTGAAATGATTATTCCCAAACTGTTCTTAACATTCTGTCAGTGTTCAGCTGGCCATGCTCTGGGTATTGCAAATCGTGGTTGACATGCTCGAACTTGCAGCGAGAACAGGTTCCTATAGTCCACGACTAGTTTCTGGATATGGTCGTTTTCGTTGGACTCATAACTGGTTAATAACCTATGTAGGTACAGTGTGATCTAAAATCGGCTTCGGGGAAGAATTAAAGAGAGTAAAGTGGTGAAACTGTAGTAAGTCGACGTTTATAACGGGATCAAGTTCCGTGGCAAACCAGAAAGACTATTTGAATATGCCGACCAAAAGAGCTTCGAGGCGCCCATTAGCCAGATAATTGCTGGTACGGCCATTCACGAGGCAATGCTTACGAGGGAATTGAACGTGGTCAGAATTCTGAACTTTCAAGAGTACCATTTCTCCTATACACATAAACGGTGAACTAGTATCTCCAGGCAACCTTCACCACGTTTTGAGAGAAATAAGCAAAGAATATTCATCATTCGTCCACAAAGACCAACTTCAGAGCCACATCCCACAGCTTCTTTTCTTTTTCCGAGCTGTACGCGTGCGGAAAATAGCCAGGCGCCCACTGGCCCTCGCTGGCGTCATACACCTTGGCTATCTGCACGTCCTCAAGATATTTCCCGCCCATTCCCTCCAGGGATCTCGAGAGGGCGGCCCAAACAGAAGTGGCGGCGCCCTGCGGGAGACTCTTGAACTGGAGGCCCAGGGTCGGATCAGTGGTGAGCCCGCTCTTCTCTTCCTCCGACATGTACTGCAGCAGTCCGGTCTGGATGCCACCGGGCTGGATGCTGAAGGCGCGCAGGCCCTGCGTAGCGGTGATCGATCTTGTTGGCCGCCTACAGCAGTGCGCACTTGCTCTGCCCGTACGCCTTCCATCAGTTTCAATAGGTGCACGCGCGGCGAGTACGCCATCTCGCCCAGTGCCTGCTTGGCCTTGTCTAAATTCCGCGACGTCAGGTAGAGCATTAAATTTATCTAATCAATTTACTGTGAACCCTGCTGGATGCCAAGCAACCTGCTTGTTCTCACCCGTAAGATCAAACAGATCTTCCGTGTTGCCCGCCGCGTTGCCTTTGTAATCCATTTTGGCAGCCTCGCAAACCGATATTTCATTGTCTGCAAGTGACATGTTAGCCCTCATATAATAAATCACTATGGTAGAACTCTCCCAAACTATCGAAATACCTCGGAAGAGATTGGTATAACCGCGGGGAACGACGTCATGTGGGGTGCAGATTATAAATCAAAGCTTAGCCTTCAGAGAATATACAAGACCATCAATTCTCCCAATTCCTCACCACAACCCTCACAACACCCCTCACAATGTCTTCCACCATGAGAGCAATCGGTACCCTCCCTCTCAGTTCTGTTGCACCCCCCAATGGCTAACAACCGTGTAACCAGGCATCAAAAACAACACCGGCCCCGCCGAAAACCTCTTTATCGACAACATCCCCAAGCCCTCTCCCTCCGCGGGAGAGGCCCTGGTGAAAATTAAAGCATTCGGTCTGAACCGTATGGACCTGTTGCAGCGCGAGGGCAAGTATCCGGTTCCTCCGCAGGCGCCTCCGACGCTGGGTGTGGAGTTTTCGGGTGTGATTGAGGAAGTTGCGGAGGGGACGGGTGGTGATTTTAAGGCTGGGGATGAGGTTTTTGGGTTGACTTATGGGGGTGAGTCACTTTTTATGGGGGTGGAGTGGCTTGGGTTGGGTTGGAGTGCTAACGAGGGGCAGGTGCGTATGCGGAGTATATTGTGGTGTCGCCGGCGATGCTGGTTCATAAGCCGGCTGAGCTGTCGTGGGAGGAAGCGGCTGGTGTTCCTGAGGTAAGTTAATCAACACCCTAATTGCGACAAATTGCTAATGGACACTGTGATAGACATGGATGACCGCCTCGCAAGCCCTCTTCCTCATCGGCGACTTCCAACCAGGCCAATCCGTCCTCTGGCACGCCGGTGCCTCCTCCGTCTCCCTCTCCGGCATCCAACTCGCCAAATCCCACGGCGCAAAAGCGATCTACGCAACCGCCGGATCGCAAGAAAAGATCGACTTCCTAGAGAAACAAATGGGCGTCACCGCCGCGTTCAACTACCGCACACAGGACTGGGCGTCGGAATTGCGCCAGGCTACGGACGGACAGGGCGTGAGTTTGATTGTAGATTTTATCGGTGGGCCGTATTTCCAGGATGATCTGAATTCGGCTGCGCGCGACGGACGGGTTGTTTTGTTGGGATTGATGGGCGGTGGCAAAGTGCCCGGGACGGCTGATATCTCCGCGATGTTGTACAAGCGCGTTCGTGTTGAGGGGAGTACGCTGCGGAGTCGGGAATTGGATTATCAGCGGAAGTTGCGCGATACTTTGGTTGAGCATGCGCTGCCCAAGCTCCAGGATAAGTCGTTCACGGTCTACGTGGAGAAGGTGTTCCGCTTCGACGAAATCGCAGACGCACACCGACTATTGGAGAGCAATGCCACAAAGGGCAAGTTGATTTGCGTTATCGATCACTAGCTATACATATATATGCACACGCCATCCTATGGTATTTTTTGGACTGTAGTTATATACACTAATTACACACGATTAACCCGTTTAGTCAGACCCACACTCGTGGTCCTTCTGGTCCGGGTAGAAGTAGTCACGGTCAATGCGCATCGAGTTGATGTGCCAGGTCTTTCCGTTGTCCGGAGTGGTTACTCCGCTGTCACGCGCGCCGTCCAGGGCGATGGTGTTTTGGAAGTCGAGGTCTGCGTCGCTGAGGTGGATGGTCATGTTCTTCCAGGAGTATGCGGCGAGGGTACCGCAGGCGTCGAGGTAGCATTCGTTGCTGGAGTAGATGTAGGTGGGATCGATTGTTTTGTCTATACCAATTAGCACTTGACTATTGAGGATAGGGAAGGAGGAGACGTACCATCAGCCTGGTGCGAGATTTCCTTTCCGTTGACGGAGACCTGTTGGATAATCTTGTTGCTCGCCTGGTCGACGGTGATGGTGAAATCGAGCTGCGAGTCGTTCGGAACAGGCACGTAAGGGTCTTGCACCTGGCCAGCTATCATTCCGTCAGCATCTTCCCTCATACTCCTCAACCTCCAAGCCGACAAGAGAACAACATACACGAATGATAAGTACTAGTAGCAACACACCACTCCTGGTCACTAGCCGGACAAGCCTGACTCTTCTGATCCGGCGACCAATTCAACAACGGCTGAAACAAATCCGCCTTCTGATCCGACATGCTGGCACTCAACCCAACCCAGATCGCCAACCACGGCGCCTCATCGCTGCCATTCTGCTGCGATCCGCACGGCACAGCCGGCGGGACGAGCGAGTAAGTCGCCTTTGTGATGTGGACATTGTCGCTGGTTGGGCCCAGCGCGAACATGTTGCCGAAATACCAGTCGTCGTACATGGCGGAGGCGCGCAGCGCCAGGGCCAGGGGGAGGAGGGTGGTGGAAAAATGCATATTCAAGACCTGTCTTGAATAGGATTAGAATATTAGGGATTGAATACCGCTGGGGTATTCTGTAGGGGAAAAAAAAAAAAAAAAAAGGGTATAAAGAAAAGAAGATAAAAAGATTTTTGTGAGAATGGAAGAAAGAGAGTCGGTGGACAGATCAACCTTTAATAGTATTGCGTACTAAACTAGACCCTTTGGTAAAATAAAAAGGGCCGGGACTCAGGAGGGACCACAAAACACGGTTAATTAAGAAATGCCAAATGGGAGGGCTACATGCGGGCCTAAAAAAGGCACCGTTTCAGAGTTCAGACATACTCAATGGGGAACGCCCGAAGGTCAATCGCCGTCCCTGTTTCGGGATCGTCGAATTTCCCGTTTTGATTGCGACTCGGCCAGGAAAGTTTCACGCTGAGACTGGATTTATCATTCTGACTAACTTATGTATCTTGCTATATTCCCTGCATTGTGCCATTCTCAAACAAAAACAGGTGGAAAAAAAGTATTCGGAGTACATGTAGAATCTAGTTCTAGCACTGCTTCGCAAACTGGTCCACATATCCCGGGAGAGTCTTCGACCACAATTGATCATCCGTCAACGCCGTCTTCAACTTCTGGCAGTCCTCCTCCGAAGGCACGCCGTCGTCATCGCCCTGGCCAAGCTTGCTGATCACCGGCTCGGCCGCCTTGGCTGCACACTGACCGAACTGGAGAACGCTGTCGTCGTCATTGCACACCTTCTTGTTGCCGTACTGCTGCGAGCAGCTCTGCTGCACAGCTTGGCCGACTTCTTTGGTGATCTTCTCGATCTGTTGCTGGTTACCGCGGGTGATGCCGAGGCTCTGCGAGAGCTGCTGGAAGAGCTCCGGGAGGACGGTCTTCTGGAGGAACGAGATGCTGTTGTTGATCGTGGCGTCGCATTTGCTCTTCTGGCATGCTTGTTGGTCGAAGTAGGTGTAGAGAGTTTGGGGTTTGTCGCCCAACGAGTTGGGAATGTCCGAGCATGCTGCGGGGACGGAGGCGGCCGTGGCGACGGAGAGGGTAGCGAGGAAGGCAAGAGAGAGCTTCATTGTGGTAGCTATAAAAGTTGTAGGCTGTACTTTATTCGATTGAGTAGATTGAGTCGACGGTGATGAGGATTTAATCGAGTCTGGCGTGATTGAAGCGGTTTATATAGCTTCATCTTCTACTCAACTAGGAAATGCCCAGCAAGGACCATCGTGTTACCAGAATCTCAGAATAGAAGCCCTTTGTTTCAATCCCAACCGTCGAAGCATCTCAATTTTCGGCCAAACGAGTAAATCGCAGTTCTGGTACCGCGAGGTTGGTATATCAACTGGCCCCGTTCGCAATGTTTCGACGCTGAATCCGATGCATCACTTCTTTGACTCGAAGACTCGCCATCAAACGTGGGTTGTCGCACACTATGAGTAGTCTGCTCGCTCTGCTGTATCATGCAGCCTTCTTTGTATATGAAATTGGTTGACGGGCCTGTCTTCACCTTCCTCTCTCGTCTTTCGAAATATCGACAAAGGACCATATCGATTGTCTCGACCCGTGAAACACCTCTGCGTCACGAATATTCGACATTTCGACTCTGCTTGTTCCTAGCTGCAGGCAACAGTGTCACGACGCCACCGTATCCCGTATCCAGAATACTTTCCTTTGATGGACAATATCAACGTCAGCCTTGCCAAATTGTGAATGAATAAACCGGAGCACAGAAACAGTCGCAGCTTGCATAAAGCCATGATAACGCCCTCTTTAATTCCCCGGACTCTGTGTTCCCCATAGCCCCGGAGATCGTCGACTACGAGTCGCAGACTGTGGCCAGAGCTCTTGAGACGTGGATGTTTCACTTGTTGTCATATCACAAATGCTGTACTTCACATTATTACTCGCCACAGATCTGCCGAAAGGAGACGTAACAAGCTGAGCCATTCGAATCTGAAACTAGGATCTTATCCAAAAGCCTCCCCAAATGGACAAGCGTCATACCGGATGCAACGAAGCTATACCCCGAAGACAACGTAACTAGGGGCTTGTATCACATAATTCGTTGTTTCTTCATCCTAATCTTCGTTCCAGGACAATATGTTATAAGAAGCAATTGAACAAAGCATAGCGCACTTCTGCCTTACTTTTTGTGGATGTTAGCTTTAGATACATGTGGCCTTTTTGATCCTGTGTGCTATACGCTTCACCTTGAGGCACTTAAACTGGACAATGACTTTTTGTCTGGAGCTCAAATGATAAAGCCTTACTATCGACAATTTAACCACGATGGCTGCCAGATGCACCTTGCTAGTCCGGATTGGGATCGGCACCATTCTTGAGAAAAACCCGGATAATGATCAGATATTCCAAGTGTACATGTTCCTTTCCAGAAAAGTGGACGGCCTGAGAATGTATGCCCAGCCCGATGGTTGATGTCAACGCCTTTATCCAGTAGAAGGTTCACGATATCTTCATGACCTTTGGAAATGGCTCGAAGGAATGGTGAGACTTTTGCATCGCCATATACTGTAGCGCCGTAGCCACGAAGGCTTCATATTCCCAAGAGCTAAGCACTTTGTTTTTTATGTCGATATGGGATAATAAAAGCTCCGCTACTGCCTTATGGCCTTTGATACCAGCTGCCTCCAAGATTTTCAGCGAGTTCACTGTAGAAGAATTCGCACACGCCCCATGTTTAAGAGTTGAACGGCTTCAATCCTGTTATTCGCTGCTGCAGATTCTAATACAGTACTCATCACAGAGAGACTCTGAGCAACGCTGAGCAAGAATTGTAATACTTTCACTTGATTGTTTTCCTCTGCTCGCATCAAAAGTATGCCGCTGTCGCATGCACGTCTAATCATCGAAATCGGTAGTTGCTTTGCGAGACATCTCACTGCGGCAAGGTCTCCCCTGCAAACTTCCTGCAGCAGCTCTTCTCCAGCGCTTTTTGTCATGGTTATGCTCAGCCCAAGTGTATATAACTCGCCCAGGGCCTCTTTCATGTCCGAAACGATGCTTAGCTATGATCCCTCACCCTCAATTACCCTCATGCCAATTCACCACGACCTGCAACATGGGCCCCTGATTATTCACCAGCACTTTGTATAAGGAAGACCTCTGTTTGATCCGAAGCCAGTATTTGGGTTTGCAGTCGCCCCCCTCGCTCTTCTGGGGTTGAAGGTTCCACCCCGGACTGAGGACAACCAATCCCTCCATCGACTCCGTTCTAGTATTATTCTTCAGTGTTTCCCCGGCTTTGGGAATGGCGGCTTCTAGGGCCTTTTGAACAGCTGATGCCCTGTTATTCTCAAATGCCCATTTGAGGGCTGAGCCCTTATGGTAACGAGCATTGAATTGATACAGATATGGAGCTAGCAGGTAGTATAGTCGGCCAGTGACTTGCATAAGGGAGTTGATGTCGCTTTCGTATTTGAAATAGCCGGCGATTTCTAGGAGAAGTTCGTTCGATAGGCTTAGGGGAGGCATCGTGTCGGTTAGTTGTGTCTGAAAATGGGCTTTCAAATCCTTTTACATCTACGAGAGAAATATGTTCGTGGATTGTTATTGAGTGAGGTCAACATGACAACTTGACAAATGATTACGTTGTGTACAATGCCTGAGGCTGGCGATCTATACAAGCTCAACCACACTCATTCGCATCCGTGATCATATTCCGAACAACATCAGCGAGGTCCTCCAAAGCCGCCTTCTCACGTGGAAGAACATGTCCAGCCCCATGATCAAATAGATCCGCACGATCTTGATCACAAAGGTTATACAGCGCCAGCGATGCGTTGATATACGGATCATTACTGCCAAGAACATGGCACGTATGAATCTCAATCCTCTCTTCAGTCTCATCCGCATACACATCAGTCCCGGAGACAGGATGAACAGGCTGCCATCCCCCAATGAAGATTGCAAAGTTAATGCGAGGTGTCCGTCCCGAGTCCTTCTGTCTCTGCCGTTCGTCCAGGATCAGCGAGGCAGCAACACGAGCACCTTCGGAATATCCGATAACGCCGTCTATATCCGGTTCCTTATCCAACAGCTGAATCAAGTAGTCGAGAGCCGATCGGACACTCTCGAATGAGGAAGAAACGGACTGTTTTGTGATAGAGCGCAGAGTATTCTCGGGAGTTTCACCTCGCGGAAAATGACGGATGTGCTGGAGAACGGCGTCCCGGTTATTCACGTCGAAGAATGCATAGTTTGGTGGTGGTCCGAAGAAGCCTGTAAATTCATTGGGTATTTCGACGAGGACGTTTCCTTCTGCGAAGCGAAAAGTGGCACTTTCGTCGGATTCAAGGATATCGCATAATGGTTCTGGTAACGACTTATATGAGCAAATGGCAAGGGAGATGTGTAGAGATTCGGCTTACTGAGTTGTGCCTCGAATGTCTATTCACAGAAGCGGTTAGCATAGCCTGGTATCTGGTTAACCTCTATCAAGTTCACCTTTGCATTGTTGAATGCTCCTGGGAGACAAAGGAACCGCATGATGAGTATTATTTTGAGCCGTATCGTCTGCGCTTCAGAGCAACGGAATTATATGGGAATTCGTTGGGTTTTAAAGGTAAGCTAACTGACCTGGGCTCACAGATGCAAGGGAATTATCGACTCTAACGCCCTATGAAAGAAACTATTCGCCAAATTTATGACGTGAATCCAGTTCTTGATCTCCTTACATATCGATTTCCTTCTCCAGGAGATGTGCCTTCGAGATATCCCTTTTTTGTATCCTTGCATAGTAACAAGCTGGGCCTGTCCAAAACCCCGAGCTCGTCGTTTGCTGCAATTGATCATGTTGGATTGTCCCGAGCCATACTTACATGTGTTTGCTATCTGAAGCAGCTACAGCTTGCTGCCAGAATGCTGCGCGGTTATATCTTCTGCGGACCGCTCTCCCAAAGCGCCAGATGGAATATTGAATTGTAGATTTAAATCTCGAAAGCTATCGTTGGAATAACATACAACTTTCGAAGCCCTGACCGTGCGTAGCATATTGTCTTTCTAGCATAGTAGACGCCTAATGCACTCGCTTCCTTTGGTATCCAAAGTAGTCTTGCGTACAGTCAAGGGGGGGGAGAGAACCATAATTCAGTAAGTGAAACGGAAGTGGGGATGGGCATCTCCCAGATTGTCCACCTCCTCCGGATTTAAATTGAGCATGAAGTCGCGTTTTCCCTGCGCTCGTTGCTTGTTCTCCCGCCACAATAGACAGAAGAATATCACTGTGGACATCCCACATAGCCAGACCAGTCCCAGACTCACACCGTATCCCGTGTAATACAGAGGGGCCTCGGAGGAGAGGAAAACGTTACTCGCAACAAGACCACCGCAGTTTCCAATCCCGATTTGCACCGCAGAGGCGATGGCCTGCTTGTAGTGACCGCTCATATTGTTACTTAGCCACCCGATCAAGATGGGCTGCGTTATAAATCCGCCACCAGTGATAGCGAACAAAGCAAAGTATTTTGCGCCCGTTGGCACCGATTTCTGAGCAAGTAGGATGATATATCCAACTGTTGCTACAAAGCAGCCGCCCAGAGCGAATCCAAAGCGATGTTTAAAGCGATCACTCAAGACCGCCGTACAGAGCGTCAGAATTGCAGCCGCAATGTAGATTGGTACACTCATGATCTGCGCCTGCAGCGAGGTCCAGCCCATCTCTTTCAAAATCGTGGGGGTGAAAAAGGAAGTTGCGTAGCCGGTATTCAACACGCCGAGATACATCAATGTTCTAGTCGAAGTTAGGGCCAGGAAAGACCTTGACAAAGAGCCAGAAACCTACCCCAAATAGATCTTTTTATCTGCAACTATTCTCCAAAATGCCGACTTGTCCAAGCGATCCATTCGGTAGGATCCTTGGTCGTTCTTGAGCCGCGTGAGTAGTAGCTCACGATCCGACTGGCTCAAAAAGCTAGCGGTCTCAGGCCAGTCCACAATGAAGAGTTTCGCGACCAACGCGACTACGACAGTTGCAATACCCTCGAGAATGAAGATCCAGCGCCACGATGAATACTCTCGGGCCCCATCGAGATAGGACATGCCATAGGCCAGCAACTGAATGCTTGTTAGTTTTGATCTCTTCTAGCCGGCGAATCATCCTTACTCCACTAACTGCCCCAGCAAGGATACTAGCACTGAAGAAGAGGTTGAGCCGCCACTGAAGTTCATACCGTTTATAGTACATCGAGATCAGGTAGACGCAGCCTTGCACGTGTGAGCGGTAGACCTCCTTAGGATCGGACGGACATACCAGGTAGAAACCCGGCTTCGAAGGCTCCGATAAAAAAGCGACATGCTATCAGACCTTCTCTGTTCTGGACGAATCCTTGGCAGACTGTAGTAATACCTGGAAAGGATAGGTATCAGTATATGCCATGCGGAAGTCCAGTGAATTGGTTCTTTAAACATACCCCATAGCACCATAATTGAGCTGATCCACGTGGAAGGGGCCATCTTCTTCATGATCAGGTTGCAAGGAATCTCGCAGATAATATAAGGAACGAAGAAAACAAACAAAGCAAGATTGTAATCGCCCCCCTCCATGTTCAGATCGTCCTCCATTCCCTGTAGGCGGGCATTGCCAATATTTATTCGGTCCAGAAAGGCCAGCAAGTAAAGCACCATCAGAGCAGGGACAACGTGCCAGTCACACTTCCTGATCACTTGTTGTTCTGCTTTGATGTCGTCGGGAATGGATGGCTTCTCGGGGTTGACATTATCGATGTGCGAATGCTCGCTTTTCGGTTCGATGTCCAAATCCATTTTTTGTTCGGAAAATTAAGCACTCGTGACATGCTCAGAAGTAAGCGCTGGGAGCGCATCGAGGCCGCTCTATATATACCAGTCATTACAGGTCGGGAAGTTATTTTCGGCGGGGGGAAGGTTAGTCACGTTCAGCGACTTCAACAGCACGGTTTTCTGTACTGCCATCGACGTGTGAAAGATGCCGTTTTCCACTGCCGTCTGCCCTTTGGGATGTGCTAGGGAGGCAGTCAACTGCGTCACATTTATCAACCATTGGGTCAGACAACCAGCCAGGCCTTCGTTCTCCATGTCTCCACAGCTCTTATCCCGCATGCTTCTTGAGGAAGTATCACTCGAAGGAACTAGAATGCGGGGATATAAGCCCTTGTGGACCTGGACCCTCGCCACGAGGCTCTAAAAACGACTCGGGATTTAGCCGGACTCTATTCTTCCTTCCTTCGGAAATCCTGCGCGGCATGAGATAGCCTATCCTTGGTCCATTGTAGGTTCACGTAGCAGCTCGGGAACTACCCGAAACCTGGGGTTGCCCTGGTAAGCGGGCATCACAAGTCATTGACTTAACGTGTAGTATATCAGTTATCACCTCGATTATATTTACTCATCGACCTGACTAATTTCCGCAGGTTGGACCAACTTGGCCTGGCAGCCTCTTGCGATGGAAATCGGACGAAGACCCGTCTTCCTAGTTAGACTACTAGGTTGCCTTGCGATTTCAGAATGGACAGCTTGGATATCATCGTGTGCGCAATGGAAGGCAGCCCACATCTTGTACAGTGTCTTCATTCCCCCGAGGTTCTGTCGGAGATCATCCTGGACATCTATTTTTCCCACGAATGAGGCACCTATATTGGACTATACTCCCTGGTTCTGATTGGGAGTAACTTCATTGCTCTCTTTATAGCTGGATTCAATGACGTTCCTGACTGGCGCTGGGGAACACTGCTGTGCGATTCTTCTTGCATACAACCTCGTCCTTGCTTTCTTTCCACAGGAAGCGTCGATGTTTGAACGAGGGGCTATCGAGGCAGAGCCCGCCACACCACTAACACTACGATAGCAGGAGGACAAGAACGAGGACTCCGGGAGAGCAACAGATGTGAAACTGGCCCCCTTCCAGTCACATCTCTCTACCTCAGTATTAAACTTACTCACGACCCTCCAGACAACACCCACAAGAATGCATTAATATCTACGAAAAACTTCCACCAATCGAGGGACTGCGACATCTGGCTCGTGCGGTTTACAAGCTATCCGAGATCAGGAGGGATCGAGAAAGGCAACAATAAAGCGCCGAAAACTTTGCTCGGGCCTTGAGTCTGCGAAATCATATCCGCATACTCGACGGGACTTCTCCACTCGACGAAATTCAGGAATTCGACAGCCTTGTACCGTGGATGCTTTGGTAAGGCCTGGATCAGATTCAAGTCCAGTGTTGTGCATGGTACTTCTTCTTGAATTCTCTAATTATAGTGTGGGAAAGGTCCCTGGTCCTATAACGATGGTCGATATTGCCGCCGGGATCACACAGCGGCTTGCGAAATATTAGGCGCTGATAGGATGATCAACCATTTTAGATCAACGTGAGTACTACCTCGTGTCCTCATTATTGGTCAATGATCGAATGATAAGTTTATATGCGTTTGAGTATCCATATTGCTATTTTTGTGGTTGTATCTTTGTATGTGCGGATCAGTTTTAAGATGCAATGTCCGGCATGGAAAATATGTACACGGAAATATTTATTTTACTCAACACGCCACTCGCTATACCACTATCATTCTATAAAACAATAAAACATGACAAGTGAATTCAGAAGAGGCTTTAAACCGAGGGCCAAGCGGCAATTCAACCCTCGTGCGTTGGGCCCGTCCTAACTCGTCAATAATTCCCAACTAACAAAAGCCCAGACAGGAAACAGCACCCCTTCGGCAGCAAATCAAAAATACAAACCGCACAACTCAAGGCATCGGAGACCTGGAATAAATATAACCGAGCCCTCAGTTGGTATAATTCGTGGCTCGCATTGCAGTTCGTGAATTTACCGAGCGACTTATTCGACATTTTCCCTCCACCAAAGGAATGTGATGAAGAAATTGACCCGGAAGAATATTGGCAACCGTTTATCTCTGCGTTTCTCAAAATAGAGGAGTTCATCACTTCGACCGACTTCATAACCATCGATCAGATTATAGCCCGGTTGAAAGATGAGGGTCTTTTAAGGCCAGATGAAACCGATAATGATAACAATGAGCGCAATCTTCAATACGCCCGGTATTTCGTTTTCTGCGTCCTGGGCTGGCAGACTATGCTTTTCACACCGGCCCCCATGGACAGCAGCAACAGCATCCTAGTAGAAACACCACAGCTCGCAATCGATGAGCAGGATGGATGCTGCGAGTACACCCACATGTCGCTACAACAGGATAGTCGCAGTTGTTCCAACGAACCACTCAGCGAATTCCTTGTGGGATTTGGTGTCCTACTCCCTTCCAAAAGTCTGTGTCTTGACAAAGACCCCAACATCCAGCATGCATTCCACAAGCAGACAGAAGTACACGCCAAAACATTCAATGCGTACACATTAAGCGCCGTAGCGGGGCTTCGAATCAAATGGGTGGACGCGCTCGCGTGCCATCTGGAATTCAATTCGACAACGAAAGAAATCTCGCTTTTCCGGTTCCCTTCGTTCTGTCAGTCGTTGCTTCTTGAGTATACGAAGGGTCGTCGGAGGAATGTTATTCATGCTTGTGCTACGACAAGTAGTTCGAGCCCTTACTGGGCTACTGAGGAAGAGGTTAATCAGTTGCTTGTTGAGATTTTGCTTTCTTATCGTCTTCTCTTTGGACAGACGAGGAAGTCGAGGGGTCTTTTCCGTTCGTCCTTGAATCCTTTTAACAGGAATCCCTTTGTCAAGAAGGCTGCTTCTGATGTCAACATCCGAGATCCTATATTGTCGGCATTATGTGGGACAAAGGATCCGTTTGATAGTATTCTCAGTGGCCTTGTGGAAAAGGATTCATATCATCTTCCCCGCGATTTTCCTGTTCTTCGCTATCGCATATCAATATTGCAAGGACATCTCTCTACCACGACACCTCGTACATGGCTGCAGCTGTGGCGAGACAAAAGAGATTCGGCTGGTTGGTTAACATTCTGGGCTGTGATTGCCTTTGGAGTCTTTGGATCTCTCATGGCCTTTCTGCAGGTCGTTCTGCAATTTGTACAGATGGTTCAGCAGTAACTGGTCTTGTCAGCGAATGTATATATGCATAACTCCGTCCATGGAGTCACGATGTCAATAATTTACCACTATAGAGCATCATCAATATCCCTTTCGATCCAACTTTGGATAACCCCGCGACTGGTCGGCTCATATTCCCTCAACACAACCTCATCCTCTTCCTCATCCACAAACGTATTCGCGTGGCAAAACACCAACGGGGGATCTTTCCTGGAAATAACCACTTCTCTCCACTTCAGTGCCTCGTCGTCCACACGTGAAAGACCCTCGTAGAACCTTCGACAATTTTCTTTGTCCGCGGTACACCGGTATATATGTAGCTGTAACAGTATCCGGCTTAGTGATGGTTTTCCCTTTTGGAGAACCTGGGAACGGTCGATGTAGACTGTCAGGCGATTATTTTCGCGATCGAGATGGATTGTGTACAGCCCGTCACTGTCGCGGAGAAGATGTTGGAGCATCGCATAATGAGCCTAGAAGATTAGATATCTCTAGACAAGCAACTAGGGTTAAAGGAGCTTACTCGACTATGCGCTTGTCTCCATTTCTATGAAAAATTAGCATATCGCCCGTCGACTTCCACCAGAATGCCAGCTTACCTTCGTGATGGGATCATAGTTCTCAAGGCCCCGTAGCCCGTCTACACCAAGTTGCAAGTACATATTGTATATGACTATCGTAGGCTCAATAATGAAGTTCCATCGCTTGAGGTAGGGGGGTTGCTTACCGTCATCAGCCGTGACTTCACTGTTTTCATCATATCCAAATAGCCCCAAGATTTCAGGCTCATCAATGAGATATGCGCCAACAATTTCTGCTCGGCATTCATCCACAGTCGTCGCAAGGTCTTCAAAAACGCTAGTCCATGTCTGGCATGGGCGATACCAGCTTTCGACTGGCTTCCCAGTCAAAGGATTCAAGGGTGGGTTCTGAGGATCGAAATTGAAGTTACCAGGGGATGATTCGCTTAGGAGTCTTCCAGTCCCATGTCCCAGTATCTCATGTAGTAACACCCAAATGTAGTACGAATGGAACCTATGTCTCTTGAAGGCTTCCTGCTCGCTTGGGTCGACCATATGTAGACCTCTTGCTCGGCTGCTCTCAGACACCATGCGGTTCGAGAATATGATGTTCTTATACCCGGTTTCCTGTCTGATGTCGTTATACTGCCCAGGTCAGCTTGCATGTGGATTGAGCTGACCGGACGACTTACGTTGGGAAGATTAATGCCCGGGAAGACTATACTCGAGCAATAGGCAAGACCTGGATAGTGTTAGTACATACTATAACCAAAGAAGATGCAACAAGACAATCGAAGCCTACTTTGAACGCTTGAAAAATCGGGTGGTTCAAACATCTCCTTCTCAAAGGGTCCTTTGGATGTCCCGTAATCCTTTACCCACGGTAATCTGCAAACAATACTATCGGCTATGTCCGCGAGACAGTGTAACCGACTCGTCTCTGCAGTATCCGCTATACCAACAATCCCCTCAAACTCCGCACGAACACCCAAAGGGTCTCTATACGGCTCGACAAACCCCATAACGGTTTCAACAGCAGGTGCTTTATCAGTAACCCAGAAATTTTGTCCCTCTTTATAGTCTCTCAGGTCACCGGTCAGGAAACTCCCATGTATCCTTTCCAGCATCAGCCGTTGAGCAGGGTTGGGGGTATATTCAAGGGCTTCTTGTAAGTAGCAGCACACTTTCTCAAGTTCCTCTTTGTAGTCGCCTTTTACTAGTCGAACTTGGCCAATCGTGGAAGTTTTATGCTTGCTTCTGAGGACGTATTCATCCTCCTCTACTGATGCTTGCAGAATTTCGTACCTGGGCTTTCCACCGGTATCATATCTTCTCAGGCGGGTATTCTCCGGCAGTATCGCGTTTTCTTCCATGATTGTTGATATAGCGTTGACATCTTCCCGAGACACTAAACATTCGTCTCCAAGGTAATAAGCAGTTTGTGTATAGGGGCCAGGGGCACCTAAGCTACTAGGAGTCTCTGCAAACATAGGTTCCTTAACACGGCTGAATATAGCACTAGCGGTTTTCGAGAGTGATGCCAGCTTCGCGAGACTCTCTTTAGATATCCCCGGCAAAATCTTTTGATCTCCAGAGCCCTACGTACAAAAGTTATGATATAATTCAGATGACCGTGCGTACCACTTACGAAATAATTCCCAACATTCGACAAGAACATCGCAGCGTAATTGAGAAATCTTTCAACTTCTTCGGAATCAACCTGTGTCTTCGTTGCAAGCTTTTCCCAATTCCCACCATACGCATGATACAAGGCGGTTATGAAGTCGAAGATGTCGTTTGATTCAGGAGATACCTGTCGAAGAATAATTCTCGTGCCGCTCCATGCAGCCCTGGAGTTATATCTTAGCGCTTTATTTCTGAATACGCGCGGCGTCAATACCGAGCCATATAATGTGCATAGCACTTTTCGCTGTCACTCAGGCCATCAAAGGCCTGTCCAACGGATAGCTGATATATCTGTGGTTCGAGCATTTCAGAGGTTGTGAGAGGATATGGGAGGATATGAGAGTTGAATCAAGAAAGACAGGCAATGGACAAGGTTAGATAAAACCCCGCCCATGTGACCCCACGTGTGGACTGATTGGTTTTTGCTTGATTTTTCCGCCGAAGAAATACTTTTCAAGCAATGGAAAGGAGCTTAAGATGATTAAAGCATATGTTTTATTAGCCGTCGTGTTTAGTGGTCGAAAATGCTTGTTTTGGGATGGGTTGGACTGGCTTCCGGCCACATTCGGTAACTTTCTATGAGACTGTCACGTTGACCTCACAAAAAAGTCTCAAAATCATAATTTCAAGCCCAAGAAAGAATTTTTATCTCAATGGAGCCATCTAATCACAATCCCCCGTGTCGTCGGCTCCCACGACCAGCCCGACAAGCACAATGCCCCTCCTCAAACTCTCCAACGAACTCCTCCTCGAAGTCGCCAGCTATTTAGAATGGGACAGCGACATCAATACCCTCATGCAGGTCTCCGGCCGAACATACTACTTAATTTCACACAGATTGTTCTGGCACAACGTGTTCTGGGCCGAGAGCACAGCGTTTAAATGGGCGCTGTACCGTGGCTATGCATCGGTTGTCGAGCAGGCCCTTGACGCCGGGGCGTGGACGAACATCGAGTACGGGTCGTTCTCGGGCCCGCTGGACGTGGCGATATATTATGGCTATGCTGATGTGGTGAAGGTGTTGCTGGAGAGAGACATTGGCTTTGACGAGGATCCAACGTGGATGGTTAGTTCGGCTAATGGGATACTTGAGATTGGGGATAAGTCGCCTCTGTATAAAGCGCTCGCGCGAGGTCATCCGGATGTGCTGCAGGTGTTTTTCTCGTATGTTAAGAAGTATCAGGGGTATGATGTGGGCAAACGGTCACGGCCTGTGCGCGGGGGGTGGCATACGTATGGAATAACAGTGAGCGGGGCGTCTGCAGAGCAGTTGATGAGGGATGTTACTGCGAGGGGGGATTTGGATTCGGTGAAGTTTCTCGCACAGTTTCTGCCTAGTTCGATTAATAGCGAGGTTGAGGGGACGTATGGTACTGCGCCGATTATTCAAGCCGTGAGGAACCATCGAATCGAGGTGCTTCGGTTCTTACTTAAAGCTGGCGTGGACCCGGGCCGGGGTGTTATGTATAGGGAAGATACACCCTTGTACCATGCGGCGCAGAATGGCAGTGTTGGGGCTGTTCAGCTTCTGCTTGATAAGGGGGCTCGTGTTGATCCTCGTATGGCTTACCAACAGGGCGGCCGCGGACAATCCCTCGAGATTCTGGAGACGGCTGTCGCACATGGTCATGTCAAGGTTGCAGAGATCCTATTGAAATGCATCAAGATCAGATCCAAGAGTAAAAGCACTCTTAGGGATAAGGATACTCTCATAATCGCGGCAGCAGCTTGCGGATTGACCGGTTTTGTTCAGGAAATCCTTGACCACGTGCACAAGGGATATCTAAAACAGCAAAAAGGCGAGCGAACATTCCTGAGTGATATTGCAAGATTAAAACCACTCACAGTGGCTATACAAAACGGCCATAAAGACGTCGTCTCATTGTTGATCGATTATGGCGCCTGTATGAAGGATACTTTCAGGAATTCACCACTCATCAGAGCTATTTCAAATGGTCATGTAGAGGTCGTGCAATTGCTTTTTGATAAAGGTGCTGCTGATCTCAGCCAAAATGATTTTCTCACACCTAGCAACTATTTGCCTTCAAGGCAATGTACCCATGGCTTTGCTGCTTTGTGCCATGCAGTACCATTTCCATCGGTCTTTCAGCTACTTCTCAATAAGGGGGCTCAGCCCACAATCAGGGTGGAAAAATTGATATTGGTGACGGAGGTTGTGCGCTTGGGTAGTGAGGAGTTGGCACAGATACTTTCTAAGGAAGGCATTCTGCTGGAGGCATACAAAGAAGCAGCTGGACAGCAAGTTGAGAAATTAGGTGAGCAATCAGGCGAGGAGGAGGCCATGCAAGCACCTGAACAAGCAGACAATGAGGCAGTGGGATCAACAGCAGAACCAACAGCGGAACAAGGAAACAAAACAATAGGAGGGAAAGCAGGGAGAAAGACACGCAAAATACGTTCAATGGTTCAGCAAATCGGCGCGAACTCCCAGGAGGTGAAAGGAGTCATGTCAAGAGCTCTTAATTCCGGCGATGCAACAATGGTTAACTACCTCTGTTACCAAGGGTGCAATCCAAATCACAAATGGCCAGCGCATTTGGGTGGGGGGAAAGCGACGAGCCTAGAGGTAGCAGCAATGGCAGCTGACCGCGAAAAGGTAGCCACAACACTCGATGTTTTGCTGTACCACGGCGCCGATGTCAACCAGTTGCAAGGGGACTGGGAGGCGTATTACTCGGACGAGAAGTATTTGACCGCATTAGAACTTCTTGTTGAGCGTGGGGCCGACGCGGCTCCGCATACGAGTAAATGGGGGCGAAAGGTGCTGGCGTTGGCATCAAGTAAACGACATCGAAAAACTACACGGTTTTTGTTGTCTGAGAGTTGTAATCAAGGTGCTTCTTATGGTGTTGTTGCAGAACTGATAAAATCTTGTCAGGAGCGTCTGCGCCAGGGGTGTGACTTGCAATTTGAGAAGGTCTTGAAAGACGCTTACTGGCGATCGATATACCCAGTTCCAAGGGAGAAGATTACCTAGGGCATTGAGCCGACTTGATACAGAGAAAGAGTGAATTATTCCCCTGATGTATTATTGTTGCCTTGCTTCTTACCGTTTTTATAATAACAATGTTGGTTTATTTATTTTGCTGAGCATGGATCACATGCCTTTAACTATGTACAACTATGTATATGAGGTGTTGGTTTGGTTAAAAGGGCCAACAGAGAGACCAAGCAGCAATAATACCGAGTACTATCCTCAGACAAACCCTACCCGGAGTAAAACACAAAAATCAAACATGGCCAATGCTCAGGGACATCCATCCCCTGTGAAAAGGGACCTCCTTTCAGCCACTCAGCTATGAGCTCTTTCATTTTCCTGGAATATTGTGATATTCTACCCTAGCTCACAGGCAGCAAGAATGAAACATGACGATACTGCTCCACGGGCAATCACCACGGATTACGCTAATTAAGCATGACATTAGCCATGATTCCATTTCCCGTTAGCACCGAGCTGTCAACAATATCTGAAACAACTAATGCAGGGACAGGATGGCATACAGGTGGCATACAGGAGGGAATGTAGTCTCCGTACTATGTACGAAGAACAGGGGACGGATTCTCAATGCCGAGTAGACACTCGGTATCCTCTCGACTCTCATCCCACATGATTTTATCAAATGGAAACCAAGGGAGAGCCGAGAGAAACTCCGCGTTTAATCCGTACCATGGATGCTGCATTTTTCACGATACTGATAGGTTCGTCTACCAGAGTGGTTCGGCTAGGAGTTTCCGAAACCGGAGATGGATCAGATAAGATCGTGGTAATCCTAATTTGTGCAGCATACGGCGCGTATTTGGATGTTGTGCTTCCGGATCTTATTCTGATGCAGAGTAGACAATTCTACGAAAAGGTTCTACGAGTATAAATTCCGTCAGATATTGTGGCCTCTCAGGCTCTATACGGAGAATACGAGGTGCAGAGGAAGTTCTCCATAGAAGCACTTTTTGCAGATTAATACGGGATGTCTCCTGTCTTGATATCTTCTGGTCTTAGTCCGTACTTTGACCCTCTGCTGAGACATACAATCCGATGTCGGTTGAAAGCCACCGTCTCCAGGCACACAAACCTGATAACTAGTTAACTAGTTAACTACGGCACAACTGCCGATTATGCCAATTAGGCATCATGTCCGGCCGCCACATACTAGAAGGGGATGGTGCGAGCGAGGTCATAAAAACTTTAATGAAACCAGCGCACAGAATGCTTGTAAGGGTATGGCGCCCATAGTTTGCCGCTGGTTGACAGCTAGTTTGACCGATGCAAGATAGATGTGGTCTTTGCAATGGACGGGCCGGTACCTCGTACGATGTGGACTGGACTTTTGTGGCGCTGTGAATTAGTTAGTGGGAGTAACTATATATATGTTGCCTGAGGCATACAGGTCATGGTTTTCCAGGTTTCGCCCGGGATTTCCCCGGATATCGCTTCGCCTCCCCAGCCTCCATTGACGTCTTCTAGAAAAAGAATAAAACCTGGCTGGGCTTTGCTGTGCTTGATACATATATCCATTGACTCGTCATCATGAATTGAATTACCACTCCGATGAGTCGTCCTGTGAAGATCAATTCGCCGCCGCAGCAACGGTGGCGGTCAGGCCAGAAGAATGAAGGCCCGTGATTGAGCTAACCTCGCTCTTTTTCGCCGTCTCCGAATCCAGAAGCCTGGCCGATCTTTTCTTTCAGGCCCACCGTCTTTTTGCCCGGCAACCACGGATACTACGCTGTTTGCTTACCGCCGAGGGTCAGGGTTCTCAGGGACAGAGACAGGAACAGGTCCGGCTTTGTTTTCCCCCACGTCCTGAGACGTAGACTGTGACAGATGTTTCTGGTTCTGCTCCATCGGCCGTGTTCCCAGTGTTCCGAAAAGTTTATTCGAGCATGAGCACTTTCCCGAAAGAATTGAACTCCCGGGATCTCGCCGCCCGCGGTGGCCTGGCAAGGATAACAATCATGATACGGAGTGATAACAATGATTACGGCTAGGTGGTCCGGGATTGGAATAGATGAAAGAATCACAAGGAGAGGCAGGGAAAAGAAAAGAAAAAAATAAAAAAATCAGGGCTGAAAACTATTGGTCGATCTACACAGGGGACTGGGCATACGACATACGGACTATCACCTCGTGGACCTTGCCCTCCTATGGCGGATCTGCACTGACCTTTTGCGCGAAAACTACGGTATCTCTTCTCGGAAACCGCACAACGAGCTTTAAGACCCGAAACTGTATAATTTGAAAGAAGATAATAATGGAAACATGAACAAAAAAAAAACAGGCCCAGCATGACGGAATGATGCATGAGCCACACGGGACAGTCAACAGGAAAAAAAAGAACAAAAAAAGAAATCAGTGTGGCTGGTTTCAACTATGACAAAGCACGCCTGCAGGACACACGGGAAAAAACAAGACACCTGCCACACGATCAACAACGGGGGGGGGGGTCCATTGGCGGCAATTCGAACTTCCAAGAGCACCGGAGACGAATCAGAAATGCCGAGGAGGCCCTTGGTCGATACCCACACGGCTCAACGAGTCAATAGAGTATGCAGATTTGGTTGAGAGGCCCCCGGTCTCGACTAGCGGTTCCACCACCAAGTGATCCTCCGTTGGCTTTACTCTGCAACAGCGGCACACCAAAAAGAATGATGCATCAAAGGGTCTATCGTCCGCGATCATCATAGGCTAGACGGTCCTGGCTCATACCAATCCGGTACAAGCATTTTGGCGCCAGAGGTCAACAAACTCAAATGCCAAACCCACTCCCAGCCAGCGGATGTCCGTACCCGCAACAAAGGGTCCATCGCTACCTGATATGGTAGCTAGCAATTCAGGCACCGAGATGTTGTCAGTTGCAGTAGTGGCTGGTCTTTTTTGGGCCTATCATAGCGTCACCGGTTGATCCCCTGTTCTGGCGGTTATAAAGACCTTTGGCTTCCGGTTCAGCACTTCCGTTTCCTCTTCCCTAGATATTCTGTCCTCAAATCTCAAACTTCAAATCTTATCCAAAGTTACCATCCAAATCACAACCACATCAACAAAATGAAGCTCACCGGTTTCGCTCTCGCTGGTTTCTTCGGCGCTGCTGTCGCCCTTCCTCAGCCTCAGGTGTTCGGAGGTTCGCCCGCTCCCGTCGAGTTGTCGAGCTCTGCTACTCCCACGTCTTCGGTTGTTCCCACCAGCTCTGCCATCGTCTTCAAGCGCCAGTTCGGCAGCTCCTCTTCGCCCACCCCCAGCAGCACCTCCGCCATCTACAAGCGTCAGATCCTCGCCTCTCCCTCTTCCTCCTCTACCCCCGCTGCCACCAGCTCTGCCATCTACAAGCGCGAGGACCCTGCCTTCCCTCCTCCCCCTCCTTACAACTTCCACCCCACTCCCTCCTCTAGCGCCACTCCCTCGTCGAGCGCTACTCCTTCCAGCTCTCCGTTCTTCGAGAAGCGCCAGTACGGCTCCATCTACGTCCCCTCGTCGAGCGCTACTCCCTCGTCGAGCGCTACCCCTAGCGCCTCTGCTCTCTTCGAGAAGCGCCAGTTCGGCTTCCCTACTCCTTCGAGCTCGCCGGTCAGCAGCACCCCTGCCAGCTCGACCTCTGTCGCTGTCTCTACTCCTCTGTTCTAAATGAATTGAACCGCCGCGAGGCGAGGCATGAGTCAACACTGCATCTGCATCTGTTGACTTGGACTTCCAGCTCATTCAACTGGAAAGAATCGAGTCGGAGGTGTGGATCACCGTGAACGTTGAACAAATACTACTACTTGTCATAAACTAATGGGTCTGGTCACCTGTTTGGAGTTATTCTTTCTGTGCTTTTTGTTTTTGTATATTGGGTGTTTTGTTCTGTTCTGAGCTTCGTACATAGATTGCAATGCACTGCGGCTTGTGACTTGACTTTGCGATTTGATGTCGTTACGATTGTGTTATGATAGATTGATGTCATAAAATGATATTCTTAAAAAAGTTTCATCCCTGTTTATCATCGACAAGTAGAATCCTCTGTACCTAAGAGATTATATAACGATGTGCAGTCAAACTTGGCTGTGCAGGGTATGTGGAGCGATGTCCTCATTTTCCTCACATCCTCATGCTAATGCGTCATTTATGTACTCCTGATAGTACATGGTAAGGCATGAATCGTAGTGGCTATGGGGTTGGTGTCGGGTTTCTTATATACTCTATTTTGTTATGAGGAATTCAAATTACAGCGACAGGTAAATATAGATGTATGTAGTGTTCAAGAAAGCAACCGTAGCAAGTGAACTGGACTCATCTTATCTCAATTCAAACCCATGCAGCATTATATATATCAAATGCATTGCACAGCATCTACCAGTATCAACATTATAACGGCCCCCTCCTAAGCCTCCGCACCTCGTTCATCATCGCCTGCATCAACACCCTCTCACCCCCCGTCATACCCCCCTCCTCCTTTTCTATCATCTCCACCGTTATTGACCCAAGCAACGGCTTCAAATCCGCCTCACAAAAAACATCCTTATCAGGTAATTCACCAGTCTGGAAATACCGCCGAATACCCCTCGCAATGCAGAGGGATGGTGATGCGCCGGATGTATGCTGTCACCATTATTAGCATATCATAATGAATGAGAAGTGGGGAAAGGGAAAGGGGGAGGGGCATACGCCTTCAGAATCCTGTCGCAGAACGACAGAACCGGGAAAGTTCTGGGACATTTTCTCTGCGCCGTAGAGGGGTGTTACGGGGTCGAGGGTGTTGCTGATGAGGAGGAGGGGGTTGGATGTGGTTGCTGCGAAGGGGCCTGTACATAACATTCTTATTAGATGGATTCATCCCAAGGGATATAATCATGAACAGCAACGGGGGCGGGAGGTGTTACCTGGTATCTTCCACTTCGCCCTAGCCTTCCACCCAACACAAGACATCCTAATATGCGCCCAGTAATCCCCAAGCATCCTACTATCCCCTTTCAATCCATCCCAATACTCTCTAAACCCACCCTCATCAACATCACCCATATACTCCGCATCCGAGCACAGAATGGCCGCAGTCGCATAGCTCTCATTCTCCCCCGGATCCCGGCACGCCGTCGACCACGGCCCGGTCATTTGACACTGATTCGACGGGCACGAGGAGCGGTGATTCCCCTGTTTAAAATCTACCATCGCCGAGCCATCGCCGTTACTAAGTTGAGCCAGGTACTGCGCGAACAGAGGGAATGCGAATATCGGTTGATACAGGGCGACACGGAGGAGATTGTGGATATCAGTCCAGGTGATAACCTCCGGTCCGTGGGTTGACGACGCCATTACCGGGATCGAGGCATTATGTACTCTCTCGTCGAGGGTTAGGAATGCCTCTTTGATGGATGTTGGTCCGCCGGAAGTGTACAGTGGGCAGGACTCTGGTCCGACTTCGTCGCAGTATAGACTGAATTTATCGAAGATGGCATCTGCGTCACGAATTGGGTTTGGGCCTATCCCAGTGAAGTATTTGTCGACGTCGACGACGCCGTCGAGGACCATGCGGGATATCCGGTCTGGGTACATGGTTGCGAAGGTTGTTCCTAGGACTGTGCCGTAGGAGCGGCCCCAGTAGAGGAGTTTTTCGTGGTTGCGGTGCCAGCGGGTGTGATTTATTATGTGTTGTTCTGGATCGTGGCCGTGTGTTCTGTCGTAAAGGGCTTGTTGTATTTGTCCTTGTTTCTCGCGCCATTCTGCGTGGCGTTCGGTGATTTCGAGCATATCCCGTGCGACGGGGACAGTGTTGACATGGCTCCCTAGGGCCTCATCTTCACCGGCTGGAGGTGTCGCGAGATTCAATGAGCATCCTTGGTTCAGCGCCTGCGCTCGCTGCCAGTGACGCATGAACGAACTCTCCGAGCTGCCCAGCATCCCATCTGCTTCCATTTGCAATTCCCAAGTCACCTGCGAGGACAGATCGGGGAAGCAGCTGAAGCCGGGGGTTGTGTTATTCACGCCTCGCGGGTCGAAGCCTATCACGTCGAAGTATTTGGCTTGGGTTGTGTTTTCGGTTGTGTCAGGGTTTTCTTCGGCGTCAACGATCATTTGTAGATCCCGTCCGGCTACTAGGACTTGCATTACGCCTGATCCTCCGGGGCCTCCTGCTATACGTAAGCCAATTGATTAGTTAGTTGAAAGGTTAGAAGAGGGAAGTACCAGGATTGATCAAAACCGCTCCTCCATATCGCGGATCCGTAACAGACACTTTGGCTGGTAATCGAGTCAATGCAACGGCAACGCGACGGCCTTGTCCATCAGCGCGGTTGTAGTCCATTGGGGCCTCGAGTCGGGCACATTGGAAGCCATCGAAGCAGTCATGGTATTCAATCGAAGGAGATGGTACGATCTGCTCTCATTAGTCTGTTGAGTTTATGAAATGTGCTTTGTAGTAAATCCCACCTGATGCCAACTAAACCCTGACCCCGGAATACCATCGAGAGGGTTCACATTATGACCCTCATTAATATGTTTATAATTATTCCCCCACCACAACAGCCCAGCTAAACCCAGCAGCGCTATAGTCGCCGAACGAGCGACATTCTGCCGCCGCGGGCGTTGGTTAAAAGACGACAACTCGGTCCCCTTCATGAGACTACCAAACAACAATAACTGCTTGTCAGACAAGAAATGTGATCCACCAGCAATCCGACAAATAAATACTGGGCATTAAAAAAGTAATATACGACAAGCAGCACAGACCCGAAGCTGATAAACACGACGACGGGGATTCGTCAACTTCGCATTCCATGCAAAAGTAGAATAAAAGCCGGCAAAAGTTTGATAAGCGGCGGCGTTTATTATTATTTTTTTATTTTATTTTTCCAGCTGGGTGGGATCGGGGTCCAGCTGATAGTCGTCGATATGCATTCCGTATGCATCTATGCCAGACGGATTTTCACCATGTGGGTCGTGCGCCTTTCCCCGGGATTCAGCCGTATCGCAGGGTCTTCACTGTGTAAACGAGGGATTCAGGAGGACGAGATTCTCGAGAAACTGTTGTCCTCATACATAGGAGACAGCTCAATTCCGTGAGTGGACTGGCCGAAAGGTCAAGACCCGTGTCTGGCATCATTTCGGCTGATGGCTGGCTGAAGCCAAGCAACCGACCCATTCTGATACGATCAATCTCGAAGCTTATTTGCGAGACAGTCCCGCGCCTCTTTTCATAGTTTGAGATTAGTCGATTGTTGGGTAATATGGCCATCGGGCTTCATTTTCTGTCTCGTGGCGGAAATATCCGTGCTGGCCCTTGGACCGCGATGTTCTCAACCCTGAGTATGATCGCTAGCCTGCGAATTATGGCCCGGTGTCAGCAAGCATTTCTTTGTAACGATGTGGGCATGACAGCTTTCGTCTGGCTTGCCTTGTAGCGCAGGGGATCTCACCGCTGACAGATTATGATATGGACCTGGGAGTGGTAAGGACTCGGTTCTAGAAGTCTATGCAATCTACGAGACTAGCTTCATCCTGGTGCTTTGTATGTCGGACTATACTACAAAGCTGACCCAAAAGGGGCTAATAACAATCAGCTGTATTGTTGATTCAAGTAATATACTATTCGGGTATCAATTTAGCACCCTGCTCAGTGCTAGACGAAAAGCAGGATATTTGATGGATCTTCGTCCAGGCTGATTTCTAGCCACAAAGAGCTCTGGCTCAGATCCGACGGACACATAGTCCAAAACCCACCGGCTATCGACTGTCTTGTGTTCACATTGTAGACGTTGAGCGGTTAACCAAGGTTATCTACTCAAACAACTGCAATGCGCAACAGAGATACCGATTGAGCGTATAGTGATTCAACAGTCCACTATACACTACACTCTGACACAAGACAGATAGCCGGAGATCCATGTCCTCCTTCAGATTCATCATCCTGCTTCAATTCTCTTAAGAATTGTTCATAGGATGATTCATAGGATTGTTCATAGGATTGTTCATCCGTGGCCTTTTAGCCCTGGGGTACTTAGGCGCGCTTTTCGGGAACTTCTGCTGGTAACCATGTTTCTGGTAATGCTTATTTTTGGCGGCAGCGGCGGCAGCAGCAGCTATCTTCTTCTGCATATGCGCCCGCGATGGCATGTGGCTTTCCACCGACTGCAGATGGGCAATATGATCCTGGTATCTGTCGCTTTGGTACTGGTAAGGCATGGCCTCTTCCCGCACCGAGGGCAGCACGCGCTCCCACAGATTCTGGATCCGCTGCCCCTCCGTCAGGAGCTCTTCCAGATTTGATTCCCATGACCCCAGGTGGTTTGAGAACTCGCGCACGGTCTGGTCCTCCCGCTGGGACCGGCCGTAATACTGCCGCCGGGCGACGGTAGGATCAACAAGATTAATGATCCTTGATAACAGGAATCTGCAGAAATTTGACCATGTGGGTTCAATCTTATCATCGGTAACCACATAAAGGCCCCAAGCTCGCTCGATGTCCGGGACCACATGCCGCAGTCCTTCTTCAATCTTGCGTTTATCGGGCGCATAGTAGCGCTCGTATTGAGCAAAGTGACTCTGCAGAAATTCAATAGTAAGATTGTACTCCTTTCGGCTCGCTCCCCGATACTGTCTCGTGACAGTGAATGTAGGAGGAACATCCACATCCTCTAGTTCATCTTGTGTCTTCTCCCGTCCACTCGATCCTTGCCGTGAAATAGGTTGTGGCTGCTGCTGCTGCCCTTCCTCCCCGTTGTTATCCTGTCCAATGGGTCTGTGCTCTTGCACAGTCTCCAGTCCATTTCCACCATTATCATCGCTGGACTCCGAATGCGACCGTTTGATTCCTCGGATCAATTCATCCACGTCATCGTTTGTGGGATTTGTCGGAGGAATCGATTTCAGCCGCGGGTCAGGCGGCGGATTGAATCTAGGGTGTTCCGATAGTCGTTCGGCCAACCGTTCAGCCAGTCGTTGCTCTACCGGCCGCTCAGCCGGGACTGTTGGCAGCTCAGCCAACCCCAGACTCTGTTGTGCCTCGGCCAGCAGCTGTTGTTCCCTCGCAATCTCACTGCGTAGTTGTAATAGGGCTCGTTGCTTCCGCATCCGGGTCAGTTCCTCTTGCAGTTGGAGGATTTCCAGATCCATCATCTCGTCAGGGTTGGAGTTGGCATTGGTAGGGGGGTATTGGGAGGCCATGGCGGGCGCGTGAGAGGTTCGGCAGAATGATAGAGTATCGAATATCGTCCAAATAGTAGTAAATCATACAACCAATATATAAAATACCCTCCCCTGGCCACTGTATCTCGGCGTTGCTTCGAGGGCTGTACTATGTGTTTGATGTGACAAAAAGAAAAGAAACCGGTTGCATGAGACTCACGTGATGATAGAGTCTTGGCGTGGAGTAACTAGGTTGCCGATAGTTAACTAGTTAATCAAGAGATTCTGCCACCGAATCAAGGTATCCAGGGAGTCTCGACATGTCCATTGGCGACGAAAATGACTTGACAGCCGGCTTTTATATGTACGGGGTATTCCGGCATGAGAGGTCGGTGAGTTTTCAAAGCCTTGCCCCCTTGCAATGGACAGTCTCGGCCTAATGGTACAGCTATGCCAGTTGCAGTGTCTGCATTTCTACGGAGGTTATTGTCAAGTTATGGCGTACTGTTTAGAAGCAGAGGTTCTCGTTTATGAATGGGATTGAAGCTCCGTCGATGCGACAAAGCGCAAAACCAATCATATTTTCTACAGAGACAAACTAACAGATGGAAATACTAGTCTCCACGGCTGAAGATCCAAGATAAACCTTGTCCTGCGGCACATTACCGAGATTCCTGTCCAGCGATAGCAATGATGGAGTTGGCAAGATCGTACGGACTCAAGCGCAACGATACACACCTAAATCCCTGCAATAGCGCAGGTCGAGATTCTCCGCCTGGTCAGTGTCAGGGTGTTCGCGGCAATTGAAATGCGAGAACCTAGACAATCGAACACTCCACCATCTATCGAAAAGCAACACGTACCGTGTCAGCTCAGCCATGATTGACAATGCATTGTGCCAGGCCAAGTGTCATCCGGTCCATTATTGGCACGTTATGGCCTCATGCGGAATAATTGAAATCAATGCGCGGTTTGTAATAGCACCACATACCAAGCATGATGCGTTGATGCGTTGATGCATTGATGTATTGGTTATTGTACAAGTAGTCTCGCTGAAGTGTCGAGGAACTCTTCACTCAATCCTTCAACATCTCCATTCGGCCCTTTAATCATGGCACGGACGGATGATCGACGGCTCTGTTTTCCTCGGCAGAGTTTATGTGATCTCAATGACCCAGAAACCATCAAGCCGGGTCCAGCGATCCTCCAGCTGTTCAATACTAATTCTGTTCAATACTAATTCGCTCCACCGTGCGCTTCTCCTTGCCGCAATGGACAGTCTTGCGCATAATACAGAATTACACGAGATGTGATTGGAGGGAATAATGGGATAGTTCTTGCATCATGGACGGACAGCATAGTAGCAGTTTGTTTGTCAGACAGGGAAAAGGTACTTATGAGCGTCCGGCTCTGCTGTGGCCAAAATGCAGCCATTCTGTGATTCGTCTTCCTGCAGGTGCATCCCATGATAACTAAAGTACGGTTTAATAACATCCTCCAATCTGATCCTATGATTTCATCCAGCTGACTACCTTGTCAGGTTGTGAATCCTGAGTTTGTATATCTCGATAGGCTCGCTTTCATCCGGTCGCTATCTGGTCGACCTATGACCGCTGGCACAGATATCTAAGTAGATGTTTATAAGGTTGGACATACTGTTGTTGGGTATCGTAGTCTAGCATCGTTTTCAATATGCCAGTATCCTGGAAAAAGCTATGTCCTTGGCTCGGGGATAGGCAACACACTAGCCCAGATGTCTCAGAAACCAAAGATCCCAAGGTCGATCTAGTCGAATCGCAACCCGCAGACTACGATGCAGTCGCATTCTCCAAAATCAGAGCAACAGAGTCGATGCGCACCTGGAAGGGGAGGTACTTCGTATATGCCGGGTATGTGACATTACATCAATGATATAGAACAAAGCTAACATGTCCAGACTCGGCCTGATCATGATTATCTTGTAAGTCCACCATCACCACTACACGACCACATCTAATAGCGCAGCGAACTCGACAACGCAACAGTAGGCACATACCGAAACTACGCAACCTCGGCTTTCAACCAACTCTCCATGCTCTCCTCCCTAAACACCGCAACCAGCATCATCGGCGCCGTCTTCAAACCCCCCATCGCCAAGTTCTCAGACGTCCTAGGCCGCGCAGAAGCATACCTTTTCACCGTCTGCTGCTACGTCATATCGTACATCCTCTGCGCGGCCTCTCAAAACTTCAGTACCTACGCCGGAGGCGTCATTCTCTACTCCGTCGGACAGTCGGGTATAACCGTCCTCAACGCAGTATTAATATCAGACCTATCATCAATGCGTTGGCGAGGTTTCGCCTATAACATCCTCTACCTCCCCTTCCTCGTCACACCATGGGTATCAGCATTTATAATTGACAGCGTCGTCAACGGCATCGGCTGGCGCTGGGGAATCGGCATGTTCGCCATCCTCATGCCCTTCTGCGCTAGCCTTATCATAATCACCCTCGCGGTGTTTCAATCTCGCGCAAAACAAACAGGCCTCATCCTCAAAGACCGTCTAACACTATACGAATTCTGCTCCCGCATTGACCTCGGCGGAACACTCCTCCTCAGCGGCGGCTTTGCGCTCCTCCTCATCCCGATCACTATCGCTTCGACAACAACCAGCCGCTGGAAAACACCCTGGGTAGACGCCTTGATCGCCCTAGGCGTGGTCTGCCTAATAGCTTTGTACCCGTACGAACGGTACATCGCCAAACACCCCGTCGTACCAGTGCGGTATTTCCGCGTCCTCGCAATCGTAACATCCGTCTGTCTAACATGTATCGACAACGTTGGTTTCGGGGTTACACACACTTACCTCTACGCCTGGTCAACAGTGTCAAGGGGGTTCTCCGCGCGCGACGCCCAATTCCTAACCTACACGAATGGCATCATGCAAGCGCTCACAGGGATGATAGTCGGGCTTGTTATTTACCGTTTCCGCACGTATAAATGGATCCTCGTCGCCGGCGCTGTAATCCGGCTGATCGGCTACGGGGTGATGATCCGGTTGCGCACAAACGATAGTTCCATCGCGGAGCTCTTCATTGTACAATTAGTGCAGGGATTGGGAAGTGGGATCATCGAGACGATTGTTATTGTGGCGTCGCAGATTGTTGTCCCGCATAAGGAGCTTGCGCAGGTTACATCGTTGCTTATGTTGAGTGCGTTTCTGGGGAATGGGATTGGGTCTGCTATTGCTGGTGGTATATACACTGATACGCTGAAGAACCGGCTACGAGAGCGACTGGGAGAGGGGGTTGGGGAGGGGAAGTTGGAGGAATTGTATAATTCGATTACGGGGGTATTGCCGGCGTGGGGATCGACGGAACGGGGGGCAGTGAATAGGGCTTATTCGGATGTTATGGGGTGGGTTTCCTGTCTTTTATGGGTTGGGGGGTGTGCGTGCTGACTGGATAGGTATATGACGATTGCTGCGCTTGGGATTGCGGTTCCGGTGGTGATACTAGCATTGTTCGTTCCGAACAATAGACTTGGGTATGTGCACTTCCCTCTATACTTGAAGCTTAAGCTTACTGACCCGTCAGCGACGGCCACAACCTCGTCCAAGACTGGTCAACAAACACCACAGCCACAGAAGAAACAGAAAACGAAAACGAAAAATCAAAAGAAACACAATGATATATATACCATTACCCTACACAAACATACAAACAAATAATAATCATAATTATAATGATAATACCACAACTTCCCCAACTTCCTCCAAAACCACTAGCAACTTCACCAATCCAATCCAATCCAAGCTAGTTAACCTAAAGCGACTTCAAAGACCCAAACACAAACTTCATCGTCTTATCCACCTCCTCATTATGTGCCACCATTGCCGTGATATTCTCACTCGACATCTTCTCCTCAATCGTCTTCTTATACACATTCCTCTCATCATTAATACCCTGCACCAGCGCCGCAACAACGGGCTTGATGCCCATTTTGTGGAAGTGGTCGGTCTGCATTAATTTTACCAATTAGCCATCGTCCAACCCAACTTACTAGTTGTTATATATATATATATATATATATATATATATAAAGAAGAATAAACAAAATAAAAAAAAAATAAAAGGGGGGAGTAGACAAACCTTCCCATGCGCAGAAGTCAACGCCTTCACAATAACCGGCTGCAACTCCCCGGCCAGTCCTCAAAATCATTACCGCTGAGCACAGGCAACTGATCCAAATTCAACCTGGCACTCCGAATCGCACTCTACGCGTTATTCACGCGGCTGGCGAGCATGAGCAGGCCCCAGACACCGCCGTTGTAGGAGTCCAGGGATTCGGTTAGGAGGGCGAGATGGGATTGGATGGAGGAGAGTTTGGAGAGGGAGTTGGTGAGGGCGGCGTTGGAGGATGCAGAAGCCAGAGAGGCGAGGGAGGCGAGGAGAATGGTAAGGAGGCGCTTGGGGAGCATTTTGGTGGTTGGTGGGTTTCTTGGGTAGGGTTTGTTTGAGTGTGTGGATGATGCTGGTGGTCACTGGTTAAGGGGGTTATATACCTCGTCGGAGGATATCAGGAGCACCATTGTTTTCCCTAATGCATGGGACTCCGTACGAAGTATGGCAATCATTATTTTGTGCCGTAAGGAGTCTAGTATAATGGTGGAAGATGCTAATATGTCAGATGCATTGTTGGAGTGGTGTTGATATTCGTCTATTGAACTCACTTGTCACCTGTGATACTGTTATATCTTCAGCTTCAACAGCAGAAATTACGTGTCTATTTGATATTAATGCTCTAACAAAGTAACTCTGGGCTGTGTGCCATCTATACCATCACGGGACTGTATACTAATAACTAGAGTTAACTAGCCTCGCTGAGCAATATTCTTCTTCCACAAAAATCGAAGAGCATAGGGTAAAGTAGAGTAAGAAGTACATTGATGACAGTCTACTGTCTGCCATTGAGTAATGACTCCAGACAAGATACAAGTGCAGTTGAGGACATCTACTTGTACTTGTACAGAGTACTAAAACAAGAGGACGAATTCTTAACTCGATATATATCAATCTATATCTGAAGCACAAAAGTACATCCGAACAGCAGACACAAATCCGGACTACTCCGTACAACCCGAAGAACAATAACAATAACAGGGAAAGAAACCGTGCGTGCGATTTCCTACGCAATTTGTAGATCCCAAATGGAGCTAAGCTGACTAGTTTGTTCATTCAGACCGAGTCTCGGTGCCAGGTATGTCCCGGGGCAAGTAATTGTTGTTGTTGTTTTTTTTTTTTTTTTTTTTTTTCCCCTTTGTCATTGTTTCTTTCATATGATATCGAATACAATTAATGCAGGTGATAGTGACTGTTCCCAAATATAAGTATTAACTGAATAATAGCTAATGTATGGACAGATGTTTACTCGGCTGTACACTACTTACTCCGTACTCAAGCATAAACATCCACTCAGCACAATCCCATTTATCCAAACCCATACCCCTGGTACCTGTAAGCATGAACTGTCATAATAAAAGTAGCTCCACAGTTCAGCCAGCCACGATCGATCACCATACAGTTCGCACCAGTTCGTATCAATAGTGCATGACGATCGTGATTAATTCGGCCATCTACAGATCCACCGCGACTCACAATAGTCAATAGTCCCGTTTTGCTTTTTCACGCTTTATAAACTGGCGTTCCCTTTTCTCTAGATTTTTTTTTGTTTTCAGAGTTTTCGATCTATTCCTACGAAGAATTTTGTTTTTTGTTCTATTGAAATTGAATTCCTGCAAGGGTTACCGTTGAAAATGCCCTCCCTCCGCACCACCCTCGTCGCGGCCCTGACAGCCTGCTCCACAGCAACAGCAAGCCTGATCAACGACTTCTCCTGCAAAAGTGACTCCCACCCGAACCCCGTTATCCTCCTGCATGGTCTTGGTGCGACGGGCTACGAAGACATCAACGTGCTGCAATACTGGCTACAAGCGAAAGACTACTGTACCTTCGCGCGGACCTACGGCGCCTACGATGGCTTCCCGTTCCTGGGCGGCTTGAAACCGATCGCCGAGTCCGCGAGCGAAATCGCAAAATACATCCAAGAAGTCGCGGAGAAGACCGGCGCTGAGAAGGTGGATGTTGTGGGTCATTCGGAGGGCGCGCTGCAGACGCTTTACGTGCCGAAGTTTCACTCCGAGGTTGTTCCGTTGATTGATAAGTTGGTTGCGATTGCGCCACCGACTAGGGGGACGGATTTCGCGGGGTTGTATAAGTTGGCGATTGATTTGGGGAATAATACCAAGAGTGTGGTGGATAAGGCGTTGGATACGGTTGGGTGTCAGGCTTGTTCGGAGTTGGTTACGGGTGGGGAGGCGATTAAGAAGTTGAATGATGGGGGGCCGATTGCGCAGGAGGGAAATTCGTTGACGGTGATTGCGTCGAAGCATGATGAGTTGGTTACGCCGGTGGAGACGTCGTTTGTGCATGAGGAGGGAGTGAGCAATGTGTGGGTGCAGGATAAGTGTCGGTTTGATATTGTTGGGCATATTGGGGAGGCGTATGATCCAAATGTGTGGAATTTGGTGAAGAATGCGTTGGATGATACGCCGGAGAGGGATTTCATCTGTGTTATTGGGTCGCCGTTGAAGTAGGGCCACTGTACAGAGTACTGTAATAATAATAATCGCATAGCATAATAGCATTTCCATTGGAATGGTTTCCCCTTGCGATCCCGTGACTCGGGCGGAGTTATAACCCCTGGCCATTGATCAATATCACCAACATCATCAGCCATGGCACAATCAACCCCCAGCCTCAACGGCAGCGACGCCATCTACTACGCCCACAGCACAACCACCACCACCGCCCCCGCCGAAAAGACCTGGCAAACCCTCATCAACACCTCCACCTGGCCCTCATGGAACACCTTCTGCCCCCGAGTGACCATCCGCCATCAACCAGGCCAGCATGACTCCGCGATCCTGCAACTCGGCACGAAAATGACCTTCCACGTGCACATGGACGCCAACTCGCCCGTTGAAACAGACGTCTACCTGGTCGTGACGCAGTTCGAGCCACCGGGAGGAGGTAAAACTGGTCGCATTGCATGGGCGGCTGATTACACTGCGTTAGGGACACTGCCACGGTTTTTACTGCGGGCGGAACGGGTGCATGAAGTCGTGCCGGTTGACGAGGGTCGCGGGAGTGAAGTCAGGAATTGGGAGGTGCAGGTTGGGTATGCGGCATATGTAGTGCGGTGGATGTATGGGAGGGTGATTCAGGGGGCGTTTGAGAGGTGGGTGGAGGAGTTGAGGGAGTATGTTGCTAGTACTTAGTACATGCAGTGCAGTAATACAGGATCAGTACAGGTGCAGTGCGGGCAGGGTACATGGTTCGTGGTCGGGTTGATTGAATTAGACATACATGGTACTTGTACATACGGTCAGACTAATCCGGCCGGTTTTCAATCGGACTATGGAGTGTGATTGTAGCGTCGTAGCGCCAATACACAAGTAGTATCCGGTGTGCTCGGCGCCCAATTTGGGAATCGCAGCGTTCTGTAAGCGGAAGGTGGTCCTATCCGAGATCCTGGCAGACCCACGTGGGTCACGAACTGTCTGTCAAGTACAAGTACATAGTAGATACATTCATGCTATGTAAAGAGTAAGTACGGAGGGGTAGTAACATTGGCAGGAAGGATTCGCGTCGGCCTCACTAAATGACCGGAAATGAGACGAAAAGATAAGTAAACGGCCCGAATAGGAAATCCGTCGGGTTGACAGGACGCGTTTGCAGTGGATATCATTGGTGTTATTGAATAACACTAGGCCGGGGATAGCATAGTGTCCGTGATGCATGCATTGGCATATCCGAAGTAGGTTAGGGTATCACATTTTGTATAGAACGAGTACAACGTTGAATATAAAATAAAACATACTAACTATGAGAAGCGTTATTATGGAATAGATACAGGGTAGAAATGAATTAGAAAATAAGATAGAATAGTAGCATTATGTAGAAGCGATGTACAATGTAGTATTCTCAACATCATGTAGGATACTGTCACAACCATGTGGGACACCTCATTTCCTGCGATCTTCCTCAAATTTTCATTTTCATTTTCATTTCTTTTCTTTTTTCTGTATCTTTATATCCCTCATTCCTTGTTCTTTTTCATCGTAATTCTTTCATTCTTTTACAATCGAGTCGTCATCCTTGGTACATCCACGGTTCAAACCTGCTCTTCCTTGCCACTTGCACCTTGATTATGCGCCTTGCGACGATTCTTTATCTCTACGCCTCGCCTTCGCAACTGCTCGCTTTTTGATCGAGCCTACATATATTTATATTTATATTTATATTCACATTCACATTCACATTCATATATCCCTATATCGATCTATATAATACAATAATACAATGCGCCACCACCACCTCTCCGTCCAAACCAACGCCCAAACCGCCGCATCAACAACAACAACCCCCCCAGTAACCCCCAGCACGCCCTCAAAACGAGACCCCACCAGCGACACTGAAAGCGCCAAAGAAACCCTGCTCTACACAGACTCCCTCGACTACCACCACCACCCCGACTCCCCCACCCCCATCCAATTTGGCCACGGCGTCTGGAGTGCCGTCTACAAAGCCTCCTCCCTCCCCGCCCCTCCAACCCCAGACTCAGACTCAGACTCTGCGTTAATAACGCCACCGGCCTCGCCAGCGTCGAAAAACCGCATCGTCGCTGTGAAATCGCCTATCAGGAAAGATGCGCATCCGGTTCTTGAGGCTGAGGCGAGGGTTCTTACGCGGTTGAGTCTGACACCCGGTGCAGAGCGGTATATCGTGCCGTTTTTGGGGTATATACCCAGATCTCATGCGTTGGTTATGGGTGCTGTGCCGCTGGCGTTGTCGAGTTATATAACAGAGGAAGCGGTTAAGGCGCAGGAACGGCGCAGCACGACGAACATGTTTGAGCCTGTGCTGGGTAAGCAACGGTGGATCAGTCTTGCGCAGAGACTTATCTCTGGACTGGACTGGATGCACAACACGGCTGGTGTCGTGCATGGGGATATCAAGCCCCATAATATCCTATTGCGGCGGGTACCTGCCGTAAGTGGTGAAGAGGAGTTCGGCTACGAACCCCTCTACGCGGACTTTTCCTCCGCGCATGATACTTCCTCCACGACGTCCTCGCCAGCGCCTGGATCAGCACTGACGCCGCCCTTCGCAGCACCCGAATTGCTCTCCCCGGCTGCGCTGAAATCGCCTACTGGCGCTCAGCCGACGACTGCCTCTGATGTGTTTTCGTTGGCGGTGACGCTTCTCGCTGCTGCGACGGGGGATTTGCTGCTGTACCCTGGGGCGAGTCATATGCAGAGACTCGCAATGGCCCGTGAAGGGCATCGGGTTGTGGAGTTTGCGAGGTCGGGTGGGAATGGGATGAGGGTTGCTAGGGGTGGTGTTGTGGAGGGGGTTGTTAGGGGGGCTGTGGTTAAGGAGCCCGGAGAGAGGGTTGGGGCTGGGGAGTGGGTGGAGTTGGTTATGAATGTTGAGTAGAGATGTAGAGCTGCTGTGTTCGGCTTAAGATGATATATTGCTATTTGATACCCTAGATTTACCTACGAGGTTATATGTTTTTCTTGTGTATAATTATCATACTAGTTTAATCATTTCATTACTGTTTTTATTTATTTATTTTATTTTATTTTTTTTTTTTGAGCTCATGATACATGATACATAATCATACAGAGTGGGTATACTAGTTAAGCCTCTTGTACGAAGCCCTATAATCGCCTGTCCGGAACGATGTCAGCGACCCTCCCAGCAGCCGATTCAGATGCACCGGCGACTTATCTGTTGCCGTGTTCATATACTCCAGTGTGAGTTCCCACATTGTGAGAACGGGCAAGCTGCGTAGTCGCACCTCGCTAAGATCGTAGTCGATATTCTCCTGGTAAGTGGTCGAGGGATCAACCTCCGACGGGGGAGGCTTGGGGATACTGTCGAAATCTGGCTTGGGTTTCTTTTCCGCGTACGTGGCTAAGCTGGGGATAGCGCGGATGAGGTCGTGGAGAGGTCTGGTGGGGAACATCAGGGTCAGGAGTTCTGAGATGGGCATGCTGCCGCGGGTGTTGAAGGCGAGAGTGAGGAATTCGAAGAGTTGGAAGAGGTTGGATCGTTTCGACGTGTCGACTTGTTTCACGAGTTGCATGGCTGGGGAGTTCGCATCTGGCTCGAAATAGAGCACCGTGCGATCGAGTTCTTGCGGGAACAGTTCCTCCTGGTCGATATGGAGCGGCTCGAATGGCCGTCTATCCCAATGAAGAAGTGCATCGTCAAAGTTGCCCATGTGAAGAGATGCGCGGTGGTCGTCGACGAGTCCTGACAAGTGGGTGAAAGTATCGTAATGGTTTTCAGATGCCTCCTCCTCGATCTTGGACAAAAGGACCGCAATCTGGCCCGTATACTGCTTCAATGATTCCGAGGTTGTCTTCGGATCTGCGGCCGCCTGCGAAAGCGACTTGGTCAATTGGTCGATTTGAATTCTCTTTTCCTTTAGTTGCGCGCGGATATACGCATGGCGGTTATCCTGGTTTACTTGGATAAGCGCCCGTGTGCGTTTCTGCTTTGCAGTCTTGTCAGAAGAAGTCTTCGATACTTGTCCGACTAGTTTTATCAATTGTTCAAGTTTATCTGTCCTGACTCGAGGCGTATATGGAGCGGGCTTCCATCCTGTCTCAGGGCTTTCTGGGGCGAGAGTATAGGCGCGAGGCTCCCTTCCTGGTGGAATCTCGATCTTGTTCGCTGCAGTCCTCTCAGACACCCGTGCTGCATTCTGGGTCATCACATCCCATCCTTTGGTCATTGTCCAAAACCCAGAGTCCATAGGACTGGCGAGTTCAAAGGCATGAAGCGCAAGACTCTCTGTCAACAGCGCTGGCCGTTTCCGTTCCACAACGCTGCGAGGGATGATGTTTTGAACCTCTACCGACGGTAGTGTAGCTAGCAACCGTACACACCCATATTTATGGAATCCTGCCTGTCGCATGCACATCTCCAAGAATATCGACCACCATCGCGATGGCGTGTAGTGATTCCGTTTCGAGGTATTCGGCGGCGGGCTGGCAAGGACCAGTAGCGTATCGTTCTTGGTCATCGTACCGGAAGTATCTCCACTCGAAGGTCCCTGTTCTGGAAGATGCTTGGAGATCACACTATCCCAGTCCCTGTGCGCATGTATGTCCAGAGATATCAAGTCGTAGCCGGGTTTGTTTGCAACGAGGGGCTTGAGAAACGGGCCGTAGGTGTCGAGGAGCGGTTCGATCATGACATGGCGTCGGGGTTTTAGAAGATCATTAACCTTGGACGAAAACATGCCAACTCCTGGCCATAGGTCGAGGATATCGATTGGGGATTTCCGATTAAGGTAGGGTGAAACGCGATTGAGAATGTCATCTGCGGGTTGTCAGTATCCCTTCTGTCCGAGTTCTTCACTGCAACGCCACCTTACCGCAAAGATCCTCGTTCACAATCTCGGATTTGGCCCATGTTCTCTTCCTCCCAGCGGTTGGGAACCTGTCGTTCATGCGCTTCGTTAGAGGAAACCGGGCGATGGGCGTCCATCGGTTCGCGCCCGTCGGCATCTTGGCTCGTATGCCAGTAAAGTATTAGACTATGAAGCAGAATATGCACGGCAGTCCATGCTTGTTGGTGTTTCAGTGACAAGTGGATGTCGTTGTGGTATGATGGTAGCGCAGAAGGTGACAGAAGAGGGGAGGAGAAAGTTGAAGCTCCGCCACCGCCGCGGCTTGCGACGGACGACGACATTCTAACAAGCTCACTTTAACAATAACAGCCATTTTTCTGAACATTTTATATATCCACCGATCGTTTCAGATCTCTCGCACTGTCACAGACCCTTTTCGCCTCGCCGCCTTGATGCGGCTCTTCCCCGCTACGACGTCTCTGGTTTCGCGCCAGGCACCGAACCTCTGACGACTGCCTGAGCTTGAGCTGCCTCCAGCCATCCGGACACATTCTCTCAATAATCCTCTATTTCAGCTGAATTCGAAATTGTGATCAATCACGAATAATGGCGTCGCAGCTATCTTCAGACTCCATGGGGCTCACCCCACCTCAGAGCGTCGAGAAGATCACTCGCAGAGCTCAAGACTACGAATATAATCCACACATCTCACTTCGGAATTGGTTAAGAACAGCAACAACACTAGTCAGGGAGGTGTGTTTGTATTTACTCCATGGTGGTTGAATGGTTGAAACTGACACCATGCCTTGGTTAGGCCCGCATCTACGAACGCGAAGGAAACGATGAACAAGCCTACCTCCTCCTCTTCAGACATGCCCAACTCGTACTAGTCAACTTGTCGAAACACCCCGATTCCAAACAAGAAAAGAACCGCAAGGCGTTACTCGATGCAGAGACCGAGGTTAAAGCCAGCATCGAGAAGCTAGAGACGCTAAAACCCCGGGTCAATAAACGATACGAACGATATGTCCAGTTAATGCGCGAACGTAAAGCACGGAGACAGCCGCCGATTACTACATCACCACCTCAAGACCCCACTCGTCATGACCCGGCCCTGGCGGGCGTCGCTGCGCCATTGGAAGCGGGTGAGAATAAAGGGTTCGCCGTTGAACTGGCAAGGACGGAAATTAGTCGACGGGCGACGGCAAGGAAGGCTTTACGGGAGGCGGGAGTATCAGAAGAGGAGGAGCGCATTCGACGCAGTGCTGGTCTTTGGGGTGATTGGGAGAGCGCGTTGGAGAAGGATGGGCAAAAGACGACGGATAAGAACGACTTGAGCACGCGGATCCAGGAGGTCAGGCTCAACGTTGACCAGACACAAAAGGAACGCTATACGAAGCCTGCACCGCGACAGCAGACAATATCGTCTCCTGTGTCTGCCTATAAGTATCCCAGTGTTCCTCGACAACAACCACTTGGTACCATCACCTCTCCGCCAATCGTACCAGTTAAGACGCAAACTCGCGTGGACCCTCCCGCGCTACCTCCGAAGCATGTCGAGAATTATGGCCCAGCACTCGTGGATAACTCTCCACCGCATCCAAACAAAATCTCGCCAACAGCAGTGTCAGAAACCACACCATCATTATTACCACCCGCTCTTCCAGAAAAAGTACGCCCAGAAGACGATACAAAGTCCCGATCCGACCTCGACCCATCCAGCTTCACCTTCAAACCATCCGCCTACCTCGAAAACGGGACGCCTCTCCGCACCGTCTTTCTTCCTCCAGATCTCCGGACACAGTTCCTAATACTAGCTGCTTCCAATACCCGTCGAAACCTCGAAACCTGCGGGATTCTCTGCGGAACATTAATCTCCAACGCACTCTTCGTCTCAAGACTCCTCGTCCCCGAACAAACATCCACATCCGACACATGCGAGACAGTAAACGAATCCGCCATCTTCGACTACTGCGACTCCGAAGACCTAATGGTGCTAGGCTGGATCCACACGCACCCGACCCAAACCTGCTTCATGAGCTCGAGAGACCTGCACACACATTGCGGATACCAAGTGATGCTGCCAGAAAGCATCGCAATCGTGTGCGCTCCCAGTCAAACACCTGACTGGGGGATTTTCCGGTTGACAGACCCGCCTGGTCTTAAGACGGTGCTGAATTGTACACAGCCGGGGCTATTCCATCCTCATTCTGAGACTAATATTTATACGGATGCGTTACGGCCGGGGCATGTTTTTGAGGCTAAGGGGTTGGAATTTGAGACGGTTGATTTACGGCCTGAGTCAAGGATTTAGTCCGTTTTACTATAGCACTGCGATTTGATTTGTTTAGATCCGACGCTGTCTATTTGTGCTAGCTTGCGACGAGTTACGATTTTTTTTTTTTTTTTTTTGAATTAGGCATGATTTAGACGAGTAATAACATTCGATTGTCACACTTCATAGAAATATCCAGCATCTGGTGATCTACCGCCTGATATTTTGCCCGTATACAAAAGCGGTAGAACCAGCAGCCGTACAAACTTTCTACTCCACTTTACTTGACAACTAACCCTAAAATCCACACCATATCAACTTGCATGCATGCACATATGTGTCCATTAACCCTTTGAACAAAACCCTATCTCAACATCTCCATAGCCCACACCCCCTCCCATCCTATCCCATCTCATCCCCCACACATAACCTCAACACCATCAAAGTACCGCAAGTCAATCACCAACCTTCCTCTCCCTGGACCTCGATTTCGACGGCGCCCTAGACCTCGACTTCGACCGTCTCCTCGCTCCAGACCCCGAATGAGCGCCCGCCATCCGGTTTGGTGTGGGAGGGCGCCGCGAACTACGTCGGTTGCGAGTGTTGCTGGTGTTGATGGTTGAGCGGGTGTCTGCTGCTTGTCGCTGCGTTTTGTTAGTACACTTGTTGGAAAAAGGGATGGAAGTGGGAAGAGGAGGGACGTACTAGGAGTCGGTCGTCGCGCTCGCCGCTACTTGCTCTGCCGCGGCGGGGGAGGTTGGCGGCTTGTTCGGCGGCGAGGTTGTCTGTCATTGTTTTTGTAGGAGTTTGGTTGTTTGTAGGATGTTTTTGACTTTGATAATGATTATGCATGAGGAGAGATAGGTGGATGGTATTTATACTGGATGCTAGATGGGGTAAGTCATTATGGCGTGTGTTGCCCCAGGTTCGGAGGGGAGGTCCGTCTGGGGTATGATCTCGATCAGTGGTGGTGGTGGTGGGGCGCCATCCATAAGATTTACGCTAGTATGGTGAGCCAGGTCGTTAGGTTGAGAGTCTCTTATAATTTTGGGAGAGATCATGTGCTTACAAGGCAATAAATTCATTCGCTATTAATCAATCCACGGTGACATTAAAGCATGTTATTACGCAAAATCAAACAACAAAACAATAAAGAGACGGTGCAAAAACACAAAACAATGAGTCATGAAAGGCAGAAAGGGAGAAGACGAAGACGAACGGGTAGGGGGAGAAGGGCATGGTCTGGGACTATAGATGGTCACTCAAGTATACATTAGCAGCCCTTCCCGATTTGAGATACCATATGAGTCCCATGACCATTCGAAGGGCTTGGTCCCACTCGTTTGGGTATTTCAAATTGAACTGGGGCGAACACCACACCGGAAGGCGCTGTTCGAGAGGAAGGACGGGACTGTTGACCTGCAATAGATACGATTGCGAGAAATAGGCATGGAGGACCCGTAGCTTTGATCCGTGCAAGGTTATAAGCCATCCATCATGATCATTCCATTTTCCATCAGCTCCATTGCTGCACGCAAAAGCCTGGCCTAGCGGCTCCGCTACTTCTTGGCCGAAGATTGAGTCTGAATATGGCTCCTGCTCGTCTGTATGATAGTGGACCCCTGAGCTTAGGTTTCGTGGTTTTGCCTATTCACCTAGATGAGAACCATAACCATGACTGCCACGAGCAAGGGAGACCACTCACCTCAAATCGGAATATCTTCAGGCGTGTATCCATTTGTAGTGAAGGTGGATAACACAATGCCGCCATCGGACAGAGCTTTCTTCGGCTCCAAGGGTATGCCTACCCACAAACGCGTAGTCAGCCTAACCTGAGTCCTAGTTAACTAACTAGTTAGTTATAATCTATTAGTAATCCAACCGAGAAATTAGCACAGGAAAGAGGAATACAAACACCGCAATCTTCCATTTAGGGCTGATTTTAGAGCCCATGATCTTCACTATGGCTTTTATGAACGCCTTCAGCGCAAGCTCTGAATAGATCTCCGGTTGAATTTCTTGTGAGGATGCGGCAGTGAAGCATTCGGTAACTGGCTCCTCGTCATCTTCATCCTTAGCCTGCCCCGTGAATATGGCATTGGAGAGATGTTCAAAGAACTCCCTAAAGGGGTTTCCTTTCTCCAGCAGTTCGTCTATTTCATCCGGCCCTTGCATGAGATCTTTGCGAGAAGGAACGCCAAGTTGTTGGTGGAGCATGGAATACATTAGGCGGTATGTTAGAGAATATTTCGAACCCTCTGCAAGGCATACCACTGTCGTTGGACACTGGCATGTCCCCCCACTGTAAAAAACCTTTCGGCTGGTACATTGTCAAAGAGGCGCACGTGGAGGGCCTCGACATGTTCGGAGGTCCAGTTAGGGCCTGAATGTCGAATTCTCGCATCGATCATATCAGTAGACTCACGCGAAGTCCTGAGAGACCGTAGTTCGGTATTGTTGGGGACGATCATCGCGATGATTATGAGGGGCGTACTGATTTGGAGGCGAAGACGAGCTGTGAGAAAGATATGAAAAGAAAGAGCAATCCGAGGGACACACAGAGATCAAAAGAAACGATGTTGGGTGACAGCCAGGCGGGGTTGCTCTGGCTGATGACAGGGGTTGTCTGGATGTTTGATTCCCATGTGCAAGTGGATAGAAGTGTCGATTATGTGTTCGAATTGAAAAATAAAACCACCCCGATTAACCCACATGGCGGACTTGCGCATGGGAAATGAGAATTCAGGACGTTCAACGAAGTACCGCCCAAATGCCATGATGCCTTTCAGGAATCCCTTCCGCGCGCCTCTGTCAGCAATGTCAAAGGGTCTACTGCGTAATACCTCCAAAGCACCACATGCAGGCTTTCCAGCTCGTATACTTTGAAGATATTCGAGAGACATGATAGCCTTGACAAAGGTATATGTATAATCTTCAATGCTGGTGGCAAAAGCTTCGTACTTCCCAAAGCTTTCATCGTGATTGAAGACCATGTTTCTCTGCAACAAAAAGTGTGGGATCGTATCTCGCCATCCTTAAATCATCGGCTGTTCGTTTGACCTGTTAAACCGATTTTGCACTTCTGTTTAGCCTGCGGCGTACCGTAACGTGAACCATACAGAGAAGAGGAGTTTACCGAGATAGTCGCAAGCGGAATACCCATTTTACCTTTTTTCGCCGGGTATCTCAAAATAGAAGCATCAATCCGTAGTCCCTTACCAGCTTTGGGCGCAGATTTGTTCAATGGAAGGCGAGACAGTTGATTGGAGATTCTAGCGGTTGGTTAGAAAGAAAGAATAAGAAGAAGGGTCTATGGGCTATAAAGCGAACAAGGATTGATCTGGATAAAGCTCGCAGAGAATATCATCCACCACATAGAGGCCGGCGTCACCAGACACCAATACCATCCGGTCACACCGTTTGAACCTGCTCAAGTCGGTGAAGAATTTAGAACGACGATCTAACTGGCTGGGAACACCAGATGGATCCGCGTCCTCCATGGAGGATCTGAAGACATTTCGCATGGAAGATGGGGATGGAGAGGGAGAAGAGAAAGATGAGATTTGACGTCCACAAGTCGTAGTACAATGAATGTCACGTGAGAGGAACGCGTTTACTAGCCATGTTTGGAATAGCGCATTGTCTTTGTACAGAAACAGAACAGAATAGAAATCAACAAGTATATTCGTCAATAAGGGAAGAAGACAACGATTAGGGTGTTTACAAAAAGCAGTCAGGTGGTATGAGATGGAGAGACCTGTATGATCGTTGCCATACTTAGCCTATCTCCGCCGCCTTATCGCATCACTAACTTTGCCTAGTACAACTACTCGACCATCCCCCTCTCTCTTCTATATCTGCCATTTTCTGTCGATTCTGTACTCCAAACTCGATTGAATGGATTTACTTTAATCCACGCCCCCTCTCTTCGCATGCCATGTCATCCAGCTCAATTAAACCCGGATCCCGCACGCCCCATGCCAACAGCAACAACCCAAACTCCCTAAACTACTTCTCCTACCCCGTCACGCATGTCGTCTCCGGCCTCTACCGTCGCTTCACAGACAATCCCTCATCCTCGAAATCATCCTCCGGCAATATGCCCAACCCCATGAGCAACAACACCTCCACCACCCCCGGAGTCTTTACCCCCGTCCGAACCGCCTCTCCCTTCCAACCACCACCCCTAACACCCCTCACACTGACCTCCTCCTTCGATTCATTATCAGAACCAGACCCCGACTCAGATTCAGACTCCCTCCAACAACTCCTCACCCGCGCCCTCGCAGAGGAAATCCGCCTCCTCGTCCCCGCCCGCCTCCAACTCGTCGATACCTGGCGTTTAGCATATAGTCTCGATCGCGACGGCGCATCGCTGGGCACCCTCTACGCAAAATGCAGGGACGTCGCATCTCGAAGCCCCCGAGCGGGTTTCGTGCTAGTTGTCCGGGACGCATCGCCCAACGGTGCGGTGTTCGGGGCGTACATGACGGACCCCCCGCATCCGAATAATCATTACTACGGGACTGGGGAGTGTTTTCTGTGGCGGGCGAGTGTGCTTCCGCCGCCGGGGTCGATGGGGTTGCAGGATGTTTCTGGTGCTGCGGGGGGTGAGAATCATCCGCCGTCGGAGGATTTGTTGGAGTTGGCTGGTTTGCCGCCGCCGCCTAGTGCGGATACGACGAATATTGGACGATCGACTACGTTGCGTGGGGAGTCGAAGCAGAAGGATTCTTTTGATACGAGTAATAATCGATTGGCGCCACCGCGGTCACAGACACAGACACCTACGGGGAGCATCCGCTCGGGGACGAGCACCCCAGAACGCATCCGCTTCAAGGCATTCCCCTACAGCGGCGTGAATGACTGGATGATGTTTTGCGAAACTGGTTTCCTCAGTCTTGGTGGAGGGTGAGTCTTCTTCCTATCTAGCTCCTTTACCATAACTATTTGCCAATACACATACAGTGACGGCCACTACGGTCTCTGGGTCGACTCCGGCCTCGAAAAAGGCGTCAGTGCACCATGCCAGACATTCGGGAACGAGCCTCTTTCCGATGAAGGCGTCAAGTTCGATATCATCGGCGTGGAGGTGTGGTATGTTGGTGCTTGAGTTGGCCCCTACTGCCTACTTTGATATATTCTGCCTGCTATATCTAAGCATGCTATATTTATTGGGTATATTAAAAGTGATCTGGTTCGGGAAGATTTATGACAGATCGTTGTGTACATATTTCAGAATACCCGGACATGATGCGTGGCTGGTTCACCGTCGTGTTCTTCTGCGTCGTTTACATATATAGATCTCTGCTACTATGGCGTTGGTTTACTCAACTCGAATACCGGTAAAGAATAAGGCTAAAAGCCTATAGTCGAGTCCCTTAGAGCACTTAAGTCTCAATTATGATCATTGTATTAACTACCATATCAAAACCAATCTAGACATCTGTGAATCCAGGACTTCCATTTCCCATAATCTCATTTCACGTTGAACAGTCGTTTAAAATCAATAAAAAGGGTATGAAAAAACACGTTACATCACCATCAGTAGAAAAAGCCAAACCAAAGAATGAAGAACAAACACCGAAAAATACAATCAAAACAACTAAAACGGAGAATTGACAATATCATCCCGACCCAATCGGTTACCCCAACGGGTGTTACGACGGCTAGGTGTAACAGGGGGACCGGCAATACTCTCCCTCGTCGGCTTCTGGAAGCTCTTCTTGGCCACCATGTTGACCTCGTTGGGCAGGGCCACGATGACGTTCTTGTCGGAGCCGAAGCGGAAATTGTCTGCCTTGACGTCTTCGCCGTAGCGCTTGATGGTGTAGGGGTCCTTGCGTCCGGCAGTGACCTTCTTCAAGCTCCAGGTGATGATGAAGGGACCGGTGGCGGTGATGATGGATGTCTCCGATGAGTCAACGCCGGTGTTGAACTTGGCGGGTGTGAAAGAAATGGGCTTCTTGGTTTCATGCTGGAACTGGGCGACGTGTGCGGGCTGCAGACCCAGTCGTCGGGGTTGAGGCTTCGAGTCCTTGGGGAACGCGCGCTCGAAACCAAGCTTGCCCTCGTTCTTGCCCTCCTTTTGCAGCGCGTCGACCAGGAGAAGGTATGTTCGACAAGTAGCCAGGACCCAGCGACCATCAGCGGAGACATCAGTACCGATAATCGGTTCTCCAAGTGCGGGAATGTGTGTCTTTGCGTTGATACCCAGACGGTCAAACAGACGAATGTCACCCTTGTTCGAAGCCACAGCCAGATATCCCTTTTCAGTCGTAGCCATGGAGGAGAAGTCGTTCTTGCTAGTGTATTGCTTCAAGTCGGAATCCACCATCTTGTTGCCGGACAGACGAGGATCGACGCGGTAGAGTGCGTTGTTAGACGCACCGACGAACGTCTGGGCGGAGGTCATTTGCGAGAATTTCTGTAACCAGTCAGTGATGCACATGGGTTCATGGGATCTTGATAACTTACGTTTTCCGGTGCGAAAATGTTTACGGGAATATCGTCATGCACCTTCCACTCATCAACAACCTTACCATACTCCAGATCCATGCGATACAAGGAGTTAGGATCATTCTCATTCTGGAGAACCATGTTCGAATCCTCCGCATGCAGCATGACCTTCTTGGGGCTGAAAAGCTTGCCACCTGGCGTTTCGACCTTGGAGATGTTGGTCGAGAACTCCAAGTTGTTGTTGGGAGTGTGCTTGAAGACACCAATCTTGGAACCACGGACGACAAATGAGCGGTCATGCTTGTAACCAACAGCCAGCTGGGAGTTGATGTTTCCATCATCATCGCGCGTAACCACATCCTCTTCCTCCTCGTCCGAGTCGTAGTGCTCGCTGCGCTGGCCATCATCCTGGCCCTCTTCTTCCTCCTCCTCTTCCTCCGCTTCAGCTTCCTCGCCAGCCTGCTCCTGCTCTTCGTTCTGGTCCTCCATAGTAAGGTCCTGGAAGGCGTCCAAAACGTAATCCCGGTCGTCTTCCTTCACCTTGCCCCACTTCATCTCATTCAGCTGCTCCCAAAGGGCCTGCATAAGACCCTCCTGGAACCGTTCCTCCGTCTCTTGGTCCGTGAATCGCAACAACCAGGAGTAGGCTGACCCATCCTCGGTGTAGTGGTTGAAGATGAAGGAGAGGTATTCAAAGTTGAACACAGGGTTGAGATCCGCAACGACGGCTTGTCCCAACCATTCCTTATCTTGGCCACTGATCTGAAGCCAATATTGCCAGGTGCCGATTTCAGACACGGTAGCTGTAATCTTTGGATCCTGTTGGACGAATGAGCCGGTCGTAAAGTCGAATAGATGCAGTTCAGCAGTCTCCTGGGCCAAGATCTCCTTGACCTCTGGCTGTGTCGCAGAGGGGGGAGCGACGGTGCCCTCTTCAGCGGGCTTAATGATTCCCTTGGAGTGGGAGTATTCCACGTCCTTCGCCATAGCAGCAGTTGACTCTCCAGCTGTCAAAGAGGGCGCACGGGATTTGGTCGTCGGGGACGCGACGGGGCTCGCAGATGGGATCGGTTTCTCTTCCTGGAACGAAAACTGCTCCAGCTCTTGCTCGGTCGCCTTTTGTGCGCTTTGTCGGTATTTCCGCTCGTACTGGCACTGGACCGCAGCCAGCTCAAAGGTGGCGACTTTCTCGGATGGCACAGATGGATCACAAACAAATTCGAACAGGTCGCCCAAATCACCACTCAAATCACTCCAGGCCAATACCTTGGCACCACCGTCCCGGACTTCTGAGCGGAAATGCAAAGACTGGTCGAGAAGGAAGACTTTCTCGTCCTTTTCCAAATTGTCACTACCGCCCTCTCCGTCGTCGTCGTCGGCCAGTTCCTCTTCACCTTCCTCGTAGGCTCTCTGGACTACCAGCTGGTACTGGAATTCCTGACCAGTTCGTCGGATAGTTGCCGCGGCGTCCTTGAAGATGAGTTCCGAATAACCCTTGGGAGAAAGGGGGCGGACCAGATACAGCTGACCCTGCGGGATTTCGATGATCGACTCTTTGGAGGTATCCCCGAAGATGAACTTACTCACTGTCGAGAGATTATTTATTAGTATAGCAGATTCAACGGAGTGAAGTGTCCAAGTCGGTGAAGGGAATAGTTGAAGAGGGGTGACGGCGGGGCAACAACAACGTCAACAACTCTTTACTTACCGTTGCGGAGCATAAACATGGTTGCGACGTTTGCTTAGCAACAGGTGGAATTCAAGTGGGAGAGAACGCAGCGAAAGCAGGATAGATGTAGAGGCAAGAGGACAGATCCAGCATCACCCAGGCACACCCTGACTTCTGCAGGAGTTGAAAGCAAGTGTTTCTTAAGAAGTTTTTCCAGAAAAAAGGAAAAAAGTCGTTGTTTTGATTCTGCCGTCATTTGACCGGTGGTGTTGTGGCGCTGTGGCTGTGCGATGAGTAAGCACTACTCCAACTAACTAACTAGTTATGAAGCTATAGTTACAAGATGGGCTATACATTGGATATCTAAACGCTAATTGACAAATTTTTATGCCTGTTCGGCAGCCGCACTGAGTTCCTGCTGTTCAATTTCCTCCTCAACAATTCCGGCAGCTTCAGCATCATCATCATCGGCATCGTCTTCAACACCCTCGGCATCTTCATTAGTAGGGCTACCCTCCTCCCCAGCAGCCTTACCCTTCAACTTCCCTCCTTTTCGTTGAGGAATCACCTGCATGAATGCCTCCCCCCAGTCACCTGTCTCCAGCCAGCGCAGCATAATCTCCATGACATGGTTCGTTGCCAGCACTGAGCGCGAAGCCATCTGAATATACTCCCCAATGGGCAGCTTAGCCGTCTTAATACCCCTCTCCGTCGCCTGCTTGTAGCAGATGGCCTTGTGACGGTTCTTATCCACCAGTCCTCCAATAATGTATGTACTGTACGGCTTCAACTCCGTCAGCGTGTTCGGGCTGTCGCTGCTAAGGTAGACAACCTCCCCGTCCTCCGGTTTGGCATCAGATTGCTCCTCGAGTTTCCCGGCCAGCTTGCCTCCTTCAGGACCTGTCATCCATGCCTTCGCCATCTCCGCCGCATGCACGTAGTCCTTCTGCATAGTGCGAACACCCCTCCAATTCAAATAGGTCTTCTTCAGCACCGTATCAAACCGCTCTCTGAGCTGCTTATCAAACGAAGAGATCGCATAGTGCACACGATACTTCGACCGACTGTTATCCGAGTACGCTCTCGTCAACTGCGACCCCAACGATATCCGCTCCTTATCCATCATCAAATCATCAAAGCCACAGTCCATGATGAAGGTAAGCGGGACAAGCGTCGACTGGTGGTGCCGCTGTCTCGTTGACGCGAGCTTTTTCCGCATCGCCTCTTCAGCTTCCTTCCCTTGCTTTTTCGCCTCCTCTAGTAGATTCTTCTTTCGTTGCTTCTTTGCGGCATTTTCTTCTTTTCTCTTTGCTTTGCGCTCGTCGGCCTTTGCGTCCCAGGCTTCTTTGCGGCGGAGTTTCTTTAGTTGGTTTTTCGACAGTGTGGGCGCGATGGTTTCGCCTTCGGGTTGTTGTTGGTCGCCAGCGATTTCGGAGTCGTTATGCTCGCCATTGTCGTTTTCAGAGGTAGTCTTGTTCTCGTTTCCATTGTGCGTAGCTGTTGTCGCATGGTCGTCAACTTTTTCTTCGCCGGTCATCGCGGGTCCCATATTTTCCTCCGGCTGTTGTCCCTCAGCATCCAGCTTCTGCTGCTTTCTCGGTCTCGCTTCCTCATCCATAGTTCTCAATCACAAAAGAAAAAACACAAGCACAATCACAATCACAGCGAACAAAAAAGGGTCAAGTAAAACCGATAATCAACCACCAAAATCCCCGTGGAACCCGCATCTGCCCATCCTCCCACACCACCAACCAATCACACGCCCCTAAGCCCGCATTACAAAACTGGAGCACACCACGTGACACCCATCCAACCTTCGCCCGGAAAGTCAAGCGTCACTATCTCGGTCTTCGCGGTCGAGATCTCGCTCTCCCTTCTTTCCCTCCCACTAATTCTACGATTGACGCTTGCGTCCAAGCAACACCCGCTTCATCATGCCGCAGGATATGCCCCCCGTGGGGGGCTACGAGCCCGTCCAGTACAAGGTGCGTCGACCGGAATTCAATCCACAGATGCCCCAAGCCCAAAGAAAGAACGATTGTTGACTTGTTCTCGCTGTGATGTAGCGCCACATGCCCGCCCGTGGCTTCCGGCCCATGTACTACCTGATCGGAATGCACATGGTCATGGCCTACGGTTACTACAAGCTGTTCTACGGTGTTCGTGAGCAACAGTACGTCCATCCTTCCCCCCGAATATACCGGTCCCTCGATAATTGAACAGACCAATTAACACGAATACAGTGAACTTGCTCGCGAAAAAATCTGGTCCAGACTACACATTCTCCCCCTCCTCCAAGCCGAAGAAGACCGCGACCAGGTCCGTCGACACTTCGCCGACAAGGCACGAGAGCGTGAGCTGCTTGGCCAAGAAACCAAGGTCTACAACACGGATAGGTGCGCAACCATTTACAATCACAAATTCAAACAAGAGTACATGGCGAAGAATGATGCTAATGGGACATCTGCGGATAGATTCGTTCGCCCTACATTCGTCTATACCCCCTCCAACGTCACCCAGTAAATTTGACGCGCTACTGCTACGTGCTTGGGATATTTATGCTGGATTGCTCGCATCTTTTGCGGCGCTCGATTGGCGTTTGCGGTTATCGGGTGTGTTATGAGATTAAAAGCAAGCGAGACAAGGCAGGAGGACAGTACTGTACGCAGAGACTGCAGTTCGTCAGCGAGGAAGAAGAAGAAGATGCTCAGAGAGTTCTGGGAAAAAAATCATTGTATGATGTAGATATACCGTCGCAATTGTTTCGTTTTCGTCAATGTTATCCTTGTTTACCTTCGATCCTGCTATATCCGGGCGTCCGGCTATGTCTGTTTAGAGAGTCGGTAATAAAAGCATTCAAATGCCATGCCAATTATATTCCTAACATTTCCACATGTTTTATGCTTACTATACATAGCAGTGGCTTCTATGAATGGTTATGCTAAATATGCAGAAGATAACTTGACCAAACAAAAGAGAAAACAGATAACGTCGACAAAATGAAGTTGGGCAACAACATACTTCATACTGTACAGAAGTCAAAGTCACAACTCATACACCAATGCCACCATCCGTGCATCCATACATCCATATTCCATAATCCAAACAATCAACCAAACATATCCGCAATACCACCCAAATCAGGTCCGTCATTTATGTCAACCTTGGTGGTTTGCTGACCATCCATCTCATTCTTCATGTATTTCTCCTGCAGTGCACTTCGCGTCTTGCGGCGTTCTACTCTGGAGTCCAAAATCTTGCCCTGCTCCGCGATGCTAACGCCTCGGAGGCCTTCCAAGAGTTCCAGGATCAGTGCTCGCTGCTGTCGTGCTGAGTTAGAGCGGAGGAGGGCATTTTCGGCATATGCCACACGCTGCGGGTCAATGCCGGGAAGGCTCAGCATGACTGTGCGCGGGGTTGGGCTGCTGGAACCGTAGAGAACCCAGATAGACGCAATCAGCGATGCAAGGTCCTTCTGCATGTCGACGAAATAGGGCTCATGTACAGATGTGATACACGCCTTGAGGACCTCTGAGGAGATGAATTCACGGATCGTGGCAGTAGTAGGGGTGTCATTTGGAGGCGCAAAGTCCTGCAAGAGGGATCGAATAACACGGGTAATGATGCTGCAGCATCGAGTATCACGCATGCGAAGGGCATGAGTACAAAACAGCATGACCGGTTCAAAGATTTCCGGCGAAGAGAGAACAAAGTGTCGAATGGACTCAGTAATCGATGGCGACGGCGTGGGTCCGCTTGGGTCCGTCGATTCTGTTTGATCAGGGTCTGCCAGTCGACATTAGCCAAAGCCACAAAAACAACGGTCACAGCTGGTGAGGGCAACTTACCACCTCGTTGCGGATCCAAAAGACTCGCAACCATAATGACCGCCGAGTAAGTCAGTTGCCGGAGAATACTCTCAGATTTCATCTCGTCGGTCAAATCGCTTTCCGCCATTCCCGCTTTCTGCTGCTCAATAATCTCCCACTCCGTAGTGACCTTGCGATCGATATGAGTAAACAGATTCGAAAGCATCGGCGGAAGGAACTGGCTTCGGAACCGGACCGGACAATCGTCGATCAAGCAACGGGAGACATTAAGCAAGACAGAGAATTGATGCGATGACAGATGTACCGAATCGTTGAACAGGGCTTCCGACAAGGGTCCGGGAAGTTCGGCAAACCCATAGAAATGTTCTCGCATCCTACTCATGCTGAACAAGATCGAATAGCAGGCCTCGCGGACTGCTCGGATCTTGCCTCGGACAGAAGATGCAAATCCCTCCAAAGTTCCTCGGGATGCAGTAATCTTGGCGTAGAAGTCGTCTCTGCTACCAGTCGAAATTCCTGCCTGCCAGAATCTATCGGTCAAGATGTGCTCAACGACCGCTTTCATTTCATCAGGAAGGCCTCCCCAATTCGTCGGGTTATGGAAGGCATGAGCATTGCTATACAGAATTAGCGTCATCTTAAAGCCGGGGACAAGGAACCATTACCTTACGAGCTGTAACAGGGACGGTAGGATGACGGGAATAGTATCATGCCAGGTTGTACATGCAAGGTCGTACGCGGGTTCCCCCTTCTTCACCCTCTCTGTAGAGATTGCTAGCATGATCTTGGTTCCTCGCAACGGCAAATGCTAGAAGATGTCAGGGTTTAGTCGACAAGTTGCGGAGGCTGAACATACCTGGAATTTTCGGGTCATTCCCTCCTGGATCTGTTTTCCATCACTATCCACGGAAACCTCTGTCCAGTCCTCTAGCTTGTGCGCGTGCCTTGCCTGCATGTAGGGTCCCACGTCTTGCAATCCGAGCATGCTGCAGAATCCTTCGAAAGATGAACTCAAGCGCTGTAATTCTTCGTCCTGCCAAGCCTGTCGTACTGGCTGCACAAAAGAGACAAGACGAGACTCGCGCACATACGGATCCATGTTACTTGTTCGTAGTCTAGATTAAGGTTAGCACAGAACAAATCAGAGCGGCATTAGAATTGCATACGTTATGATCACAAGGACCGACGTGAGCTCCATTTGGAGTTTATCATCCATCTGGTTGGCCATGGTGATCTCCTTGATTTTCGGCTCAAGCACATCATAGAAAGACTGTCCGCGCTGGTTAGTAACAAATATCCTGCTTTTCGCATTGGGGTCAGGGTTCTTACCGAGAAATAATCAGCGTAGCGCACTGCCAGACGGCGTAATTCGTGACTTGACAAACCGTGAAGCTCCTTCACAGCCTCGGAGTAGGCCGGATATTCCGGTTGGTCAGGAAGACGTGTCATGAGGATATGCTCAAGGACTTTCAGTGCAAAGCTGGGGGTCTTATCCAAGGCCCGACACGAGATATCGACAGCCAGCTTGATGATTCGTTCGTTCAAAATCGGGTCCTAGTTGACAATGAGTATGAATACACTTCACCGCTGCTAGAAGACTTGACAAACCTCGAAGTTACGCTGCAGTAGACTCATCGCCCACGCCTCTAGCGCAGTCTCCAACTCACTCCGCTTCTGCTCCTGATTGTTGGTTAGTTACATAGACGTCTCAAAAGAAAGCAAATACATACATCTTGCTGAGGTGTCTTCCCGTGAGCAGACACCCATTTGTTGTATCCCTTTAGCGTTGCGTCTACGACGGCGAATTGAGTATCAGCACGCATGAGAGGTATCGAAGACTTGGAGAATGTTGTCACTGATTCGCCTCTGTTAGCACGGTACTAGAGCAAATGGAGAGTTATACCCACCATTAAATGGAGCAACGCCATCATAAAGATTGTTCAAGTTCACCTCAACCCCGGAAAGGATGTGCGGAATGGCTTCTTGTGGTCTCTTTTGAACAATGGTTTCGATGATGTTCGAGCAATACCGTCGATAATTTCCGACGAATGCATGTCTCTCAGGGACTGTATCAATGTCTTCGTAAAGAAAAGTGACCGTGGGGTTTCCGGAATCTTCTGGTAGAGATTCCCAACGAACCAGTCGCTGGGTGCAGATACCTAACAATTGCGGAACGAGACCAGTAACAAACTCGGTGTTTCCGATTTTCTCAGACGCCAACAATTTTGACCATATATGAAGCACGGGTATCGAGATGGTCAGGCTTTGATGTTGGATGACGTTGATCATGAGATGGAAGAAATACGGAAGGTTCAGGCCATGTGCCGTTTCGAGCGAGAAGCCCTTTTCCTCGAGGAAACCAGCCACGTAGGACAGCATCTACCAGACATCAGTTAGCACCATGAGAAATCACATCACCCTTGGCTGTAGACTGTACCTCTGATAACTTCTTTGAGATGGTGTATCTGGTGTCATCTATATCGTCAGGCCCAACGATGGACCACTCGTAGAGTTTCTGCAGAAGGTCCAAGTATTCCGTTTCGTACATCAGATGCACCAGGGGTTGGAAATCGTCAATATCAAAGTTGGCCCGGCTATACAACGAATGCAGCGCTTCCACACCAGCCTAGGTGGTTTAGTAACGAGCCCAAAAATTAAGACTGAGAATGTCCTTACCAATAATACCTGCTCATCATGGCAAGTAAAGGCCTGAACGATGTGTGGAACGCAGTTTGTGGAAATGATGGCCTTGGGAATAGTCCAAGCGAGACATGCCTTGAGAGTCGCAAGGGCTTTAATTGCAGCGTCCTTTGCCTGCTTAGATGTCTGCACATTTTCGATGCACTCTCCCAAGAATTCACACGTCCTCGCCATCCAACCTTCCGTGCCGCATCGGATTTCGAGTTGCTTATCTCGCTTCGGGTAAACTTCCTCGAACACGGACAGAGGCGTATAGATCTCGATGAGCGCTCGGTTGAGGTCAGTTCCCCGTAGCGACGAAACGGTATCTTCGCGGTAGAAGATGTCTTCTGACAGTGTCTCCAAAACGGACAGAACAAACTCCTTGTGAACCAAGCTGGCGCTCCAGAACTGCACGAGCGTCTGGTCCATGTCGAGCCAATCCAGGCCCCAGCTCCGCTTTGCGACTTCAGCCCATAACTGAGGGATCTTGTTGCGGATGTACGGGGGATCCTCCTGCCGTATCGACTGTGCCAATGGGATAACCAACTCTCTGAGCTCGACCAACTGGTTCGAAGTAATAGAGGTATGGCGCAAGACATGATCCAGAAGCGTCAGGCCGAAGTAGCGGACCAGGGGAGCATGCTCTGTCCGAGAAGCCAGCAAAAACCCATTATGAGCGGCTGCTTTGCTCTGCTTCTGCGCTTCAACATAAGTCAACGCCTCTCTGCGCAGCTCATTCGTGGACGAAGGGCTGTGAATAAGCTCCAACGCACGGACGAGGTCGGCCATTCCGCCCTCGGACAATTCTGCGGCCGCCATTGTTGTCGTCGCTGTCTTTTTGCGTTATCTTTTGCGCCAAGCCTGGCCGGTATATCTCCTTGTCGGATGGCGCTTTGGGGTGGGCGTGTTTGTTCGCCGTAGATCTTTATACCTTGTGGCGCTTGTTTAATTTTTCGTCTTTTTCCTCAAGATGTTCAATGATCCAATCGCAGCATCAATACTTTCATACTCTGGTCGTATCTAGAGTCTGGATGTATCCAAACAGAAATCGGAGTTTCTTTAACGGGCGACCAAAACGGCAACAGCCATCAAAAGCGGCTCCCGCGTCAGACCTCCGGAGGTGCGACTTTGATCAAATATCTCTAGCCGGGATAACAGAGACCGAACTGGAAACCGTTATCTTTCTTCGTGTTTATATAAATTCCGGGGTTCAGTGCCTATTCTTCTGCAGTCGCGGGGAGAAAAACAGTATGGGGAAGAGTAAAAAGAGGAAAAACGGACGAACTTTGAGGC